GCCCCCAGTGTGGGGGGCAGCGTGGACCTGAGCCTCGAGGCCAACGCCATCGCCCTGAAATACCTCAGCGACTCTCATCTCTCACGGTTCTCCTTGGGGATGAGGCCTTCAGTACCTCTGCAGAGCCCCGGTGCAGTGCATTCTGGGAATGCTTCCACAGAATGTGCCACGACAGGGCTGAGCGTGCTGTCCTCTAGCAACATGTCCTTTGCCACCAGGAAGTACATGAAGAAGTATGGGCTGATAGAGGAAGACAGTAGCGAGGAGGAGGTGGAAATGGAGGAAGAGGCAGAGAGCACGGATCTGCGGAGGGACTCGGCCTTGGGGCACTCCACCCGGACAGACCTTTCTGAGAATTTCAGTCCTGAGCGAGGCGGGATCCTGAAGAACATTGGGAACAACCAGGCGGGCTCCCAGAGCCAACTTCTCCGAGACCTACGACCAAAGATGCAGCTTCTCTCTAGTGGTGCCAAAAAGAGATCCCAAAAGGAGAACGACCCCCGGGGGCTAGAGAGAGGCCCGCAGCCCGTGTGGGTGGGAGCCCAGGCGTCTCGGGATCCTTCAGCGGCAGAGAGCTCTGTGGGCAACTTCTTGGACCTTAGCCGTCTCCGCCAGCTCCCTAAGCTCTTCTGACAAACACATAACCGCTGACTGGCTCGAGCGGTAACTATTCAAACAAATGAACTGTACATGTGACAACTTCTGAAAAATGTTTGTTTATAGATTACAGTAGATGTCAGTGCAATTGTCCGCATTGCCCTCCTGGTTTGGTATCACCAATCCATGCTATTCCCTCATTAGTTACAGTGTAGTCAATACTGTCAACCCTGTTTGTTGCACCAACCTGAAGTCACTTGTTTTGGGATGTGGCTGCATTGCAGGAATGGGAGGGAGGCATGATGTCAGCGCCAGCATTTCAGAACTGGCTTTTTTCCTTTAAAGATGTGCGTGTCTCTCTGTGGAGAGCTGCTAGAAGTAAACATCAATGCTAATTGAATTGATTTCAGTTACTTAAACCTGGGTATGTTTACATTTTAAGTTTATTTTAACCTTTTAAATGTTTTGTTTGTCAGGAACATGTTTTTATATGTGGTTTACTCTTCCTGTAATGGAATTTTATTTTTGGCTGATTGTAGGTCAGTCTATGTTCCACATTTGTTTTCCAAATCAGGTGGCTGTGAACAAAGTCAGTGTTATATTTTATTTGCTTTTATTTTATTGGAAAACTTACATCAATTACCTCCACTTTTTTGACACCACTATGCTAACACTATTCTGATTTGTTTTTAATTAAAATAAAGGTCTACTTGATTTTTTTAAAATGTTTGCTAACTGGTTATTCCACAAGTAGAGCACATTTTAATGATTGTTAGTAATGGTTCTGTTTATCTGAAAACTTCAGACGAGATCACATTGCATTCTTTTGAACGTCTCAAAAGGTATCTTCTGTTTTGTAAATTCCAGTTTCAGAATCACAGTGAGATCATGTATCTGTTACTCATGCTGCACCTTAGGAAGCTCTTCATAATGCTCTCATAATAAATTATGGGAGTATTTCGTTTAACTGCTTTTGGGAAGCTAACTGCTCAAGAGAACCACCTAATGACAAATAATATGGTGTAACTACAGAGCAAGATTTCCAGGAAGCACAAAATCCATAATACAATACAGAGCGTAAACAGACTGGTGGCATGTTGTCCTGCCGGGCTGACATTTCGAGGGGAATCTTTGAGGCTGAGTACAGTCACTGCAGTCACAGTCACTTATACAGACAATGGGGTTTTTGATAAGTTTTCTGCACTGACAGTGCTCTGATATTTCGACATGATCGACAGCGGTGGCACACCGGTTTCTGTCTACTGTTTCCTCCTGACTGCTTCCTAAGCTCACGGCTGCCTTTGACAACTCCCTGCTCACCAGCCTTGCGTAACGTGTTAATGAACATCCCCGCACATCCGTCCTTAAAAGGAGAAAGGGACAAGGACAGCCAAGCTTCCTAGAGCAGTCGTGGATGTTTTAAACAGATTTCACTGGAGTTTTCACAGACCTTACACGATTAACCCGTCAATATGGAGCATCTATGTTTGAACATTAAAAAGATCTAATTTGGGCTCATTTTTTGATTGTCTGTCACCTCCCTGATTTTGCTTTTTCAAAATGCAAACTACCTTGTTCAAGAACAGAAGGTAACAAGCTGCATGCCCCCATAAACATCGAAGATCCTAGTTCCCGAGACACACTGAAAGTGACAGCAGTAACAATGACTCATGGGCAGTTGTGGAAGCTACAAAGATATCCAACGCTGAGCCAATAAAAAAACACTGCAGATCCACCTCCCTTCAGCCATCTGTGCACTAGACAGATCCACCACCAAACATGCATATCCCTCCTTGCATGGCTTTGTTCATTATTGTCAGACATTCTTCAGCACATCTACTGATAGGAGTTCGTGATAATTTAAAACCCGTGTCAGTGTGACTCACTGTTTTACTGACCTCATTGTCCCAGTTCTGTGTCATTCGGCTGCCAAAATCAGGCACATTTATCAGAACATCTTTTATGTAACTTCTAAACGTCAGGTGAGCAGAAGAATCCATGTTGCATCACACTGGGAGATCGTAGTACGAGATGTATGACCACGGCAGCTGAGGGTCCCCTTCCTCAAATTAATATCACACCATTCATGGCAAGAGCCAGCAATTGCAGGAGATGGTTTAAAGGAGAGGAACTATAGTAGTGGATCGCTGAAAGCATGATTTGCCCCTCCATGATACATTAAGATTTACTCCCTAAGGTGTCTGGGTCTCACCTATTTCCTGATCTATGTAAATCTCTGTGGGGGCACGGTGGTTAGCACTGCTGCCTCACACCTCTGGGACCTGCGTTCATGGCTCCATGGGTGTAGAGTTTGCATGCTCTCCCTGTGCCATCATGGGATTTTCTCCACGTCCTGTTTCCCCCCCACAGTCCAAAAATATTCTTAGGTGAACTGGAGCTACCAAACTGCCTATAGGTGTGAGTGTGCCCTTAGATGGGTTGGCATCCCATCCTGGATCATTCCCTGCCTTGTGCCCGTAGCCTCTGGGATAGGCTCCAGACCCCCTGTGACCCTGAACAGAACAAGCGGTTACAGAAAATGGATGGATATAAAATTTGACCTACAGTCCGCTGGCAGAAATATTTAGTGATCAGTGGTCATTGTTGACACACCGCAGCAATGAAATGGAATGAAAAGGGGGCAAGCCCCCAGTGCTTGGGGGCGGTACCTTGCTCAGGGTATCTCAGTGGTGCCTTGCCGGTCGGGGATTCAAACCCACAATTACAAGTGTGCCCCCCTAACCATTAAGCCACCGCTGCCCAGAATCTTCCTATATTGTGGTCTGAAATGGTTAAGGCTTCTGTACAGAGCTGCTTCTTGGCAGAAGGGTGTGGGCACCAGGGACCCTCTTGAACTGTGTTAAGTAAAGACAAGAAGCCATGTCTAGATTATATCCCAGAAAAATTCTACCAACTGCTCCACAGCCTCCGGATGGAGGGAAGGCAGGCTGTCTGGCTAAGGGCCCCCCCCCCATAACTGACAGCTAATGCTGGCTCTAAAATCGGAGTAACACTTCACAAAAGAAATGTGTACTATAAACAGTGTACTGGTTGGAAATATAGTCAAACATTTCATTTCAATGCAATATACAAACAGCTAAATGAGAGACAATTTCTGTGCAAATATTTACGCATCGTAATGCCTCGATCCCCGGGATAAATTACTGTTCGATTTAAATGAACCAATGATTTGCACATTTAATTGGCCAGGAGCACAGGAAGGCTCCTAATTGAGTTTTCAAAATGATCATTATATTCAATTTATATAGGCACAAAATAAGTTTTAGTCAACTACAGAATTTTTTATAGAAATTTTACTTCCAGTCCTTTTCACGGTATTTGGCATTTCTTTGTTTTTTGTTTTTTTTCATACTCATTCATGTTTTCTACAGGGGGTTACTTTAAAAATAATATGGTCATTATAGCCTTCATTTGAATTATTATGTGAAGTGTGCTTTTGATTTGCGCTATTTAAATACAAATAATTCGCAGTACATAAAAATAGGAGGAGAAAACAGGAATAAACTTTTCCGCTAGCTCTCATGGGAGCCCATAACATGTTTAATCATTGTCACACTGATTGGGAATATCTGGTTCGCTGTAATTCATATACCGTAGCTAACGCGTTTACAGGGTTACACTATACGAATCATTTAATTCCTAGAAGAGACAACTAAAGATGTCGGAAGGAAACGGCATATCCCCGTAGCAAGGAAAACCTGATTTCGTCGCACAGCAAACCAAGTAAAACTGGCACGACTGGCGTTCACCACATCAAGCACCACAGACTCCATTATAACTGCAGTTGATGGGGGATTGCCAAACTCATTTTCTTTTTTCAAAATCTTGTACGTGACACCCACATAAAAACATAATAGCTTGAAATTCTGAGTCATTACACATGTATGAGGAGGACATATTATGTCAATGTAATAACATTTATGTGCGTATATTGTCATACTAAAAACCATACGCAATGAAAGCATAATAAATGAATATGCACGTACAAATCACTGTACATCGATATGAGTTTCGTCCATGTCTACTGATCCATTTCCAGGGCTGCCAACTTTGATGGGCTGGAGTGAGAGTTTCAATTCGAGACAAGGCTGTAGACGCGTTTACATGTATGTAACAGTTTTATTACCTTGTAAATAGTCTGTAGGGTTTGCAAACCACCCCAACCCTTTTGATGTAGCTAATTTTAGGTTTATAATGTAATTATACAGATTTCTATCGTCAGTGTCACGCCAAATGCGTGAGAGCTGGCAACCCAGCATTTCTCTCTAACCGGTGAAGGTAGCGTCAAGCTGCAACCACCCCTCCGTCCAGGTACATACAGTAGCGACGTCTGTCCACTAGGGGCACCCATCGGCAGTTTCTTAGACGCTCCGCCCACAGCCTCTCCCGCGGGCGGCTGCGCTGAGTGTCCGCTCTAGATCCCTGGCGGCCGCTGCACGGACGAGATGGCGACCGAGAGGCGACTCCGCCGCTTCTCCGCCGACGGCTGAGGATTGACACTGTTCAATCGCAAACCGTGAGTAGCCGTGGACCGGAATACCGCGAGCCCATCGGGGAGGATATAACCAGCCCGACTTTCGCTTTGTCTAGCTGGGCTATGAGCTATGACGCTGCCGCGGGTGTCTTCCTGGTACCGCGGTCCAGTTTCGGCGAGGAATCTCGGGAGCCGCTAAAACGGCCGGGCGCTGTTATGGTAGACTGGGGTGTTGTCGGACTCGCCGGTTACTCAGCGTCCTTTGAGCTCTTACTGACCAGTTAAGGAACTTAAGCCCGTTGGGCTGGTTAAGCGGTTACTGCTTTCGGAAAAGTGGTTTCCACAGTTGAAGCAGCTGTCGATACTAAGCCGAACCCAGCGGCCTTTCTGCGCTCCAGGCCCTTGTGAGCTGAAGACACGGAATTATCTTGTCCGGATGGATGCTGCCTGGCTCCACGCTTTGAGGAATATGCGTAATATTTATGGACGATAGTTTGATGTTATTTGGATGTTACTTAAAGGTTTTGAGCGCCCGCTCTTCTGTTTCCCGGTGGGTAACGCACGGCTGGCTGTACTCCGGGGTCGGGTGGGGGTATCACCACCGCCGCCCGCCCCGTACTTCGCTCCTTTCGCGGTTGCATATCTTTCTTTAAATCGGGCTTCATTATCGACGGCCTGATAGTCGGCCATCGGCCGTGGAAACCAAACCAACCGTTAGCCGAAGCGGCTGCGGCACTCGCCTCCGGTGAAACCTTCGGAAGAAAGGGAGAAACGTCGAAGACCTGTTATCGGGGACGGTTCTCCCCGACCCATACGCCGCGCCGGTACTTTGGTGCCGCACGACTGCATCCTCTTGGCCGCACGCCGACCAGGCCGCAGCCTCCCAGCTCGCTTTGTTACCCCGGCCGCGCCTCGCCCGCCGAGCCCCGCGACGTGGGGGGCGCTCGGCTTTTAGCGGTCTGCGCTTGTTTGATTTACTATTTAATGTGTTTGTGAGTTAAATGTTTAATTGTGGGTAGTTTTGTAATAATTTGAGGCAGCTTGGACCTCACGGCGACATGAAAGTTGAATCGGCCGTGTGCTGTTTACCAGGACCGAAAGCGGGGTGTCAAGGAGGTAGGGTTCCCCATTGTCCCGTGCGGAGACGGCTTAGCTCGCTAGGGCCTTTCCCGGTTCCCTCCACCCCCATCAGCTTAGTGGGAAGGGTGTCTCCCGGGAGAGGCGGCCCAGCCCCCCGCCCCGATCTGACGGAGCTGCTGTGCCGTTTGTGTTTCTTCCGGGTAGCTCCCGATCGTCTGCACAAGTATTAAACACATTTCTTTGTTGGCAATATATTCTATCTTCACGATGTAATGGAAAATGATCCGTGCACCTATTATATTACTTTTTATGTTCTGCTTTCATATCTCGGCTTGACATATTTACTGTTAATGGTTTTTTTTTTTTAACCAAAGCGGTGTTTTCTTTATAGTCTAATTTCTGTTAGATCCAGTTATTTTATAACCTGATAAATTTGCCATTGCGTCGTCTTGACCGTATAACTGAGTGTATTGTTACTGTAAATGATACATTTTGAAATACAACTTTCCAATACACGTTTTTCCCCCCTTATAAAAACTTACACCTCATTTGCCAATACATGCACCACAGAATTGGACAACTGTCATCCCGAGGTTTATTGTATATTTCAATTTGAATTCATTACTACATTGTGTATAACAGTTGTGTATTATCAGTGTGAACAGGTTTAAGGTTCCTTCAAAGCACAGGCATAACGAGGTATGGATGTGGTTAGGGTGAACTGTGGAAAGGCCCTAGATCTTTATGATAGCAGATACTTTTGAAGTGGATTAAGTGTCCTTTGTCAAGAAAATGCAAGATGAGTCAGCCCTGAAAACATTGAAAATGAAAACATTTCCATTTGATTTGCTCTTGAATGGTTAAGTCTTAATTTATTAGTCACTAGCTTTGTAACTCATCGGTTTTATACTCCTAAAGCAGTGTGGGTTGTTATGCTTTAAATGTTTTAATGAAGTGTGTGTCTGTGTGTGTGCACGCGCGCAAACACTGGTGGGAGGGGGTGTTTTATGTGTATTGTGGGCTGTGGATCAGAGACCCTAATTTGATAGTTTATTCATGTGAGTGGGTGGATAAAGCGGCTTTTGATTTAGACAGGATGGCAAGTCAGTTCAAACTAGATCTTGAAAAAATGTACAATGTTGAATTCATAAAAAAAAAAGCAAGTTGTTTTCTTAAATAGAATTTGAGCAGAATTACTTATTTTTTTCCCTTACATGTGTATACCTGAATAGCTCTTGTTTTTTGGTCTCTGATTGTATTATAAAACTGTTTTAAAATGGGGAATAACACACATTGCATCTTTAAGTTCCTTGGAAAACAATGTAGACTCAAAGTGCGTTGGTCAGCAGAGTTCAGCTTAGCTGGTCTTATCTTGGTATGGTAATTCAGCGTTTTTAGTTATGATGTAGGTATAACTTCCGTAACAGTTTTGCCTGCACGTCAGATTCTTTGTCATTTTAGTTAATGTTATTGTTAGCATTAGGCTGTGTTGTATTGTTGTTGTAAGTTTAACTGTGTGTATGACAAAGTTTTTATATGATGTTCATGTCTCCTAATTACACATGTAAGAAATTCATGACAAATATTTTGTCCCAAATGGCAAACTCTGCTTAAAGACTTCTCTGTCGTCAGTGCTTGTTGTGCTGTTTGAGCATGGGACCATGTATGTGGCCAGCACATGCTGGTGAATGAAAGCCGAAAGACTGATGGAAAAATAGCCGAAACCTTGGAAATTTCAGAGACTGACGGTTGTGGGATTTGTGGTATTCATCTGTGGGGGAAATATGCAGCATATCATATTCATAGTAAAATGCTTCCTTATAGGCACATTTGCTGTTTTCGACAAATGCAACTGTTAAGTAGATAGTAAGCTTTTCTTTTTTTTTTTTTTAAGTACGAAGTTAAGGAAAGCATTTTGCTTGAATTACATCAAAGGTTGTTGTCATACTTACTTTATGAGTCTCGGGGTGGTGGGTGTTGCAGGGAATATTAACCGGCTTTGCAAGTCCGAAATAAATGGTTTGTAAAGTGTCTTGGAGGTGAAGCAGGTTGTTGTCTTACTTCGGGTTACCCTGCATGCTTTGGGAACTTCCCAGTTAAGATTTTTTTTGCTAATCTTTGTGGGCTGTACCTTGTTAACTTCTTTCTTAATTAGTTTTCTTTGGCTCCACATCTGTGTTTTTACAAACGATTGTGAATGATTGTTTACACATCAGCTGTAGCTTTCCCGTCCTTTCCAATGCCATGCAAAACTTTTAATAAAAACATTTAATTGACAGGGGATATTATGGAATAAACAGGTCAAAGGGATGGGTCCTGGATTCTTGTGAATAATGAAACTTTAAATATACCTGAGAATGTAGATGGTGTCTTCAGTCCCTTGTTATGTAATGTTCACTCTCTGGGAGCTGCAGTCAGTTTCAGAGTCCTGTTTGACTGTAGTTGTTTTCGGGTGAGAAGCCCACCTACGCATTTAGAACATCAGCTCTAAGCAGCATGTCTGAACTTCAGAAGGCTGTATCTGGTTATAATGCCCTGCCCTCGACTACCTTAGTGGTGAATCAGCATCAATAGTAAGACTATGGAAAGTTCCGCTCTTTACAAATGCAGTGAAATTAGAATTTTTCTTTTTGTTGAATTGGTGTAGCTTACAAATGAGCTGGATAAGATTGTCTACCTGGTACCTATTATATTTTTTTTCCAAAAGCCTTCTGCATAATTATCATAAGTGGGAGAATGTGGGAGGCTGACATGAACTGCCAGATGAGTAGGGCTAAATACTGAAAGTTGGTAGTTCTAAGGAAGTAACTCAGTCTTATTACTGTCGAAGGCTGACAAATATTTGGTGCTAGATTGCAGCACTTTTAACAGTATCTAGCATGTGGTTGTGACCACCCTTTCTCAGATGAATTTGCACTGACTTGCTCATACTTTTTCTGGTGGATTTTGTTTGTTGTTGTTGTTGTTTTTTTTTTTTTTTTTTGGTACGTGACGTGACTGGTATTTGGCCCCTCACTGCCACGTAAGCTGACATAAGAGAGGAACATGGTTTGGGTTTTCCAAAAATAGTAGCTAGGCCCAGATCTGGCGATACACCGAACCTAATGAAACATGATCATATACAGCATTAAACTACAAAAATGTTTTGACTGCACAAGAAATCTTGCAGCTTCACGCCCACCCTTGACACGAATGAGGTTCCGTCTTCCTGTCCCCAGCCCGAGTCGACAAGCAGGGTACCCAGTGTTTTTGACTAAGCCGCGTAGCTGGGCAGTCAGCTGGGAAATTAGCTGTCGAATAAACAGAAAATGCATCTGCAGATTCACCGCTGGCAAGTTAAAAACATTCACCGCTGGCAAGTTAAAGTCATGCGTGTCTAAGTACTAAGTAGCATTTACCTCCTGAGTATCTTGAGACATGCATTCTATTAAAGGTTTTTTTAAATCATCTTGTGCTCACGGTGCTCTGCTGCAGTGTTTTGTAAATAAAATTTGAGTGGGGGTGTATTGTATTGGTTCCAAAATTATAAGCGATACCCTGCCCTGGTGTTAATGTAAAGTGGCTAATCGGCAATGGGTATTTGATATGATTTGGCATTTGATTCATAAGCCCTGTTTGAGTATAAGGTTTTCCTGTAGTATTATAAACGCATTGGTGTGTACAGTTTCTTTTGCTGTTTTGAGTCTAGACATTATTTACCTGTCCTTGATGAAAAGTAACCAGACAGGCTTTTCAAAAGATGGACAGAAGGCTGGGCAGGCAAGTGCTCTGTTTGGGATTCTACTTGGGTATTTATAGTAATGTAACCCTAACTCTGTTGGCGGGGCCCATTCAGGCGAAGCAGCAAATTACTGAGGGAAGTGGGGGCTTGTGCTCTACTTGCATCACTGTTTGGATGGTAGTTTGAGAAGAACAGGGTTGCAGGTCTCGAGCTATGAGGTGCCAGAGATCCAGAGGATCTCTGATCACAAGATCGCCTACCATGGTGCCTCATGTAGACACTGATAAAATGGGCTGCATGTTTTTGTAAAGCTTGCTATATCTGCAAGTCTTAATTTAAAGATCAAAACAATCCATGGACTACTCATTTGTGTCATCTTGTTACAAAGGTCATCCCGTAATCGTTACTTGTTGATTTTAAAGTTTACTGTATTTGTAATGGAATCTGTTGTGGTTTGCTTTTGACTAGACATTTTCAGTCAAATATTGCTCTGTTTTGTAAGTGATTGGGTAGAACCTTGTCCTTTGTTTGTCAGGGTTCTCACCTTGATGAGTCATATCGCCGTCAACAACTTCCTGTAGTTCATCTATCGGAAACCTGCCGCTTACCTCTGCTTCAATCATCCTTTGTTCCGTTGGGTGCCGGTGAGAAAACAAAACATACTCACTCATATGGCTGACTACTATGAATGGTTAGAGCATGACTGTCTCCGGCTCAGTAGACATTACGAGCATCACTCACCATTCTACTTCGTGATTGTGCTACCCGTAGTGAGAAATTCAACAGGCCCAGAGCCGTGGTCATGTGACTTGCGGTCACATGGCCCTGCGGTGAGATGAACAGGACAGTAAGGAAATGTAAACATGAACAGCAGCTCAGGGCTGTTTAACTATTAGCCGACAGCTCATCTTTCTAAACTTGTCCATCAATCTTCCAGCTGCTTAACCTGGGGAGGATTCTGGGTGGTACAACGCCTGTTCCACACTGGCAATTTAGAGATGCCAGTCAGGCTGATGTTATCCCTGTGGGAGTTAACCCACACAATATGGGCAAAACAGGCAAACTCCACACTCCGCACATGTGGGATTTGAACCCCCAGTGAGTCCCTGAGAAGGGCTGCCCCGATCACGTCGCTATGTAATCACGATTATATGGCACATGCACAATAATCACCAGGGCTGAAACATTTGTCAGGATGCCGGCCATTCGGTACTTTACGGACATTTACTTATGGCCACAATTTGCTAAGCAAATTAGTAGTGTGCCTAAGATATTAATGTGATGTGTATTGTGATGTCCAAAAGTCAGTAGTCTGTATAAATTCAGAAATGTGCTAACATTTGTGTTCACTTGTTCAGACTTATATTCTTATTCCACTGTACACTAATGCATACCTTAAATTCCCAGTGTCTCCCTCTTTCCATCTATGAAGGACTCACTTCTCTCTGTGCTTCACTGATGGTGTTTCCTGTTTTACGCAAGCACTTCCTGTCCTTTGTCATAGTGCCTTTTTGTCATAATTTCCTTAATCACTGAACTCTCTTCTTCGAAACCCTTGGAAAGGTAAATTATCTTTGTGGAGGGTCTTCTAGTACAGAGGGACCCCTCCTCCGACCTCTCAGTGATTCCTCAACTGGTGTTTGAAAGAGGAACGTCCACTAAGAGACTAGAAAGCCAGCCAGAAAATACCCTTGGTGTGAATGTCCCACTTAATATTTTGGCGGAGATGGATGGATGTTGGCTGGTGATGCATATGAGACTTGGGAATCTAGCTTGAAAGAGCAGAATTGTGTCAATGGAAAGCTAATTCCCCAAAGCACAGCTGAGCTGTGGAACTGGGAGTGAAGGCTGTGAAGATTGTCATAGTACATGCTGGCCCAGTGAATATTCTGCATTGTATTTGTCTCGTGAAGATGAGGTCCTCTCATTCCTTATTGGTTAATAGAGTTCAGTGACATTAAGGCCTTTAGATTTGCTATCATCAAGAATACTTAATGGCTGCGCTGGAATAATTCATTTTATGACATATCTGAGTAACCTGTTGTCATGACAAAAGCGGCTTCATTCCGTTCTGTAGTTACAATCTGTAATGTACCAACCCCCTTTTTTACTTTGCAAGACTGCTCAGCTGATTCATCAGTCTGTTTGCTGTTGTTAGACAGGTTTGTGCAGATGATAAAAGCCTGCAATTACAGCATGATTTATTGGCCTCATAATTCCTTTCGACATTTCCGCGAGGCGCAGTCTCGGCCTGTTTCGTCTTGCTAAATCTCTCCGTTCGGTATGAACCCTAACTACACAACTTGGGGCATTCTCCATCTTTAGAAACACATGGTAAGATTAGCTGAAGCACACCCTTTCCCCCAGCCTCCTACAAAGCTGTTTTCTTTTCTGATGCAGTTTAGTTTAGAGTTCATTCCTTAAGAGTATGAATTACACTCTAAAATCTAGTAATTGCTTTGCTAGATCTGGTGATCAACCTATAAATTTTACAGTGGCTGTTGGTCAACGATGTCCTCTGGTATTGTGCAGCCGGACTCTTCATCAGAAGGCCAATTCCCGGTTACACCCTGATTGTTCTCTGGTCAGCACTGTGGTATCTGTGGCTCCCAGGATTCCTGTGACCGTAATGCCAGTGTTTGTCCTCTGGAGGTGCTGTGCACCTAACAGTTCACGCCTGTACCCAGCTCACTCCGGAAATGGCCAAGCTTCATCTTCAGTGTCTGCTTTATGCATATTTCCATTTTCTTTGTCTTTCAGGTTGTATATTTCACACTATGTGCTGAACGTCCAAGATGTCTGAAAATATTTGTTTTGAAGATTTTTTTTTTTGATTCCAGTGGAATCTAGATTTTTATTTTATTTTTTATTTTTTAAGTTGAGCACACAGACGTTTGAGGAGGAGAGATCCTAAGACGCAGTGCGTGCCCCTGGCCCGCCAGCCTGTTACAATGCCCGTGCAAGCCCCACAATGGACGGAGTTTCTGTCGTGCCCCATCTGCACCCACACGTTCGAGCAGACCATCCGGCGCCCCATCAGCCTGGGCTGCGGCCACACCGTGTGCAAGATGTGCCTGAACAAGCTGCACCGCAAGGCCTGCCCCTTCGACCAGACGGCCATCAGCACCGACATCGAGCTGCTTCCCGTGAACACGGCCCTGCTGCAGCTGGTGGGCGGCCAGGTGAGTTTGCCCCGTCTTCCCCTCTCCTCCCCCTTGGCGAGTCTCCACCCCTGACCCCCTTCCCTGCTGATTCCGTGTGCCCAGGGTTGTGTGCCATGTCCCGTGATCCTGCCACACTATTGGTGTCGGCTCATCTTCACCCTCCAGGATAGTTATTTCTGGTGATTTGCTGGGTCTTGTGTTTTCGTAACATAAAAACAAAAGCCATGGGAGAAATGACATCAGTGGTTTTCTTCGGAAGTGCCGCGTTTGTGACGCCTCCTTTATGAAAGACTCCCTCACAATAATAGCAGCTTCTGCACTAAAGATGCAGATTACTGTTTAATGTATCCATATTGACATTTGCTAAAAGATCAAGATATCAGCTTCAATCTAATGTCAGTCTTGGTCAGTATTGTTGGGCAATATTTAAACTTGATATTTAAAGTTAGCAGCATCAGAGCTAAATATGCAACTACTAAAAAAAATGGAGATGATTGTATTGAATGATCAGCCATTTTCCATAATGAAGGACAAGGGATTTTGTCAGCTAATTAACCACTTAGAGGAAGGGTTGCCACTTTCAGTCTGAGGAAATAAGTGAACCCCCGGTATTATGAGGGCTCTATGGTAACTTTTTTCCCCAAGGAGTAGGGTGGAAAAGTTGTGCATGACGGACAAAACTGACAACAAACTAGATTTTTATTTTCATATTTTGGATTTCTTTTGATGTTCAGTCATATTTCACATTACAATTCATACTATAGGTCTTGCCATTATAAATCTAAAATTATAAGGTTGGGGTGTTTTACAAACCATATAGACTATTGACAAGGCAATAAAACTGTTACATGCATGTTACATGTGTGTGCTTGTGTGTCTAGACTTGTCTTGAATTGTAAATCTCACAGCTGACCAAAGTTGGCAACCCTACGTTTTATTTGAAATGTGAAATGCACTGATTTCGCTGAAGCAGCTTGTTCTTCTGTTTTAATTGTTCAATTAATAATTATTGGAGTAACGAGAAAACATTACATATGTCTTTTATATCTTTTTGTAATTAGACCACCCATACCCAACTGTAATAGCGATTTAAAGTGTACTTAATATACCGTATAAAAAAATAAAATTACATAAAGGGACTGGACATGCTACTTTATAAAAAAATAATATATAATATAATCTGTCACTCTCAAAGATAATTTTAGGTCGCTCGCTCCACTGGGCCTAAATGTTTTTTCACGTTCGCACATTCGAACATTTTTTCTTGCATATGCATTGTAGAGCCCTGTTTATGGTGTGGGGAACGATTGTGGTCTTTGAAAATATGTGACTAATTGCATTCTGTATTGGTTCAAAACACAACACAGCATTTTACTTTACAATACGGGACAGGTGGCATCTCTGCTCAAGAGGTACCAGCCCTTGGGACTGGTTTTACACAGCCTGCATATGTTTTATTAAGTTTTTAATTCTTTACCTGGCCAGCAGATATGATTCTGTTTTCAACAGAATAAAAAATGATGTAACATCATTCCACTGCAGTCGTTAACCCCCCTGCAAATGGCTGAGGCGTTAGCTGTGGACTGGTATCCAGTGTGCGAAATACCTGTCAATATTCGGGGGTCCCCATCTCCCTATTGTTGCGCAATACCTATCTTGAGACCCCCTTAAAATTTTGCTTTTGAGACTTTCAGGGGGTCTCATGGGTTAATTGGGGGTGATGGACCCCCCCGTATTTCACACACTGCTGGTATCACTTATATTAAACAGAAATTATGTCCCATCAGGGTAAACTTCTAAATTGACACACCACTATTCCATACCCTGGCTCAGTATTTACTTTAAGTGTAGGCATACAGTGGTTCCAGTATTTTCCTGTTTAGCTTTGTCTGGTCTTGTCTTCCTCTTTCCTTGATTGAAGTACCTTTGCTCAGTAGTGTCTTTAAAGGAGGAATCTGCAGACCTTAGTGATCAGCTTTATCACCATGGGGGTTGGGGTTGGGGTTGGGGTTGGGGTGGCGGGGAGGTTGAGGCAGTGCTGCTTGTGATTGTGGGACACGTGTTTTCAGATCTACAGAGAAACACGTGGGTTGTTCTTGGAAGTGCGTGTTTGCTTTTAGGCGTGTGGTTGGAGCTCGCCTGTGTCGATTTGCCAATCTGGTCCAACGAGCTTCCAAGTTGGGTGGCACGGCCCCACCCAGCCACCTGAGCTCTGCAGTGCTTGCTGGGGCACCATGTACACAGACAGTCACCTGGCCGTCATCAGACTCGCAAGGGAGTTTTTTAAAAATGACTCACTGAATCTGTTCTTTCCTGTACTCAGAAATAGCTCTCTATTATCCTTTAGTAATGCATTTTATTCTATTTAAAGCTGAGAGATCATCGCAGTTTTCTATATTTGGGCCGCAGCAGGAAAGAGTGGTTTGCTGTTTACTAAATCGCTGCTGTGTAGTATTGGCTAACTTGCGGTTGCTTTCACATTAATATAAATGTAATTTATGTATGCAGAACCATTTTAACAAGCAGGAATAAGGTGCGTTTTTCTATTATGTTAAACACATGGATCTTCCTCGTTAAGGGGTAGCAGTAACTGCTGTTATTCCACTCCTTTCAGTTCCTGTCAGGCTCGCCCATGGTTTCCCTTAAAGGGGAGCGTGTGCCTGGCGCTGGCTTCTCTTCAGCGTAGATGGTGTGTGTCAGAGGGGATTGTTCAGCCCCTTCCTGTCGCTGCCGGAGGGGCTGTAATGGAGAGTTGAGTCTGTGCCGCTGTAGCAGACTTGGCTCTCTGCGGGGGTCTGGCCCTGCTTATGCTCTTTGGGCTTTATTTGGTAATTCACAGCAACATTGTGTCATCCCCCCCCCCCCAAAACTCAGTTTCAGAATTTTCCTGGAGTCTGCATGTGGCTTGCTCTGATGTTCACTGTGCCCCCCCCCGTTATCGCAGGCCCCCAGACAGCAGCCTGTCTCCCTGCTAAGCGGCGCCGACGACACCAAGCACTATGAGGAAGCCTGCCGCTGTGTGGAGGAGTTGGCTCTCTACCTCAAACCCCTCGGTGGCAGCAGCAAGGGTAAGCCCTGCGCGGCCCACCGCACGTCTGCCCACCCCTCTCATCCTCTCTTCTGCCCCCTCCCCCATTTGCCTTTCCCTCTCGCTCACCCCCTCCTCTGCTCTTCTCCCCCTCCAGGCCTGGTTTTGAGCAGCCCGGCCCAGAGCATGCTGAGCCGGCCCATGCAGCGCAAGCTGGTGACGCTAGTGCACTGCCAGCTGGTGGAGGAGGAGGGCCGTGTGCGGGCCATGCGGGCAGCCCGCTCGCTCGGCGAGCGCACCGTCACCGAGCTCATCCTCCAGCACCAGAACCCCCAGCAGCTCTCCTCCAACCTGTGGGCTGCCGTGCGTGCTCGCGGCTGCCAGTTCCTGGGGCCCGGTATGTTCTGGGAACTGCAGACTGGCCTCCGTCCGTCTGGCACGTGACCGTGTTCTGTCACTGTTGGCTGTGGTATGGTGCTTACAGCTCGTGTGTCCATTCAGCCATGCAGGAAGAGGCTCTGAAGCTGGTGTTGCTGGCCCTGGAAGATGGCTCGGCCCTGTCTCGCAAGGTCCTTGTCCTCTTCGTGGTGCAGAGGTTGGAGCCACGCTTTCCACAGGCCTCCAAAACCAGCATCGGGCACGTGGTGCAGCTGCTGTACCGTGCCTCCTGCTTCAAGGTAGACCGCTCCCCTTTGACCAGCTTGCTAGCTTGTGTGTGTGTATGTATGTGTATGTATGTATGTATAATTGCAATCCATTTACCATTGTATTTGTTCTATGTTATTTCAGAAAAGACTGCACCTGTTAAACAATTTGTCACCATCACTTTCTAAGCATCAGCTTGCCAGGTTAATAGTTACACAACTGAAGGCTGAGATACAGGCCAAATAGGGATGCATTCGGTTTGAAATTAGTAACCAATGGAAAATGTTTAGGACTACAGTGTAATGAGTATTTAAATGTTTGTCCTGGTGGGGGAGGGTTCAATGTAGAGTTGGCTTCATAAAAAATTTTGGTCAGCAGCTGCCACTTCTCCCTCCTCAGCCCACAGCTAAATGGCCACTTTGCTCACAGGTAACAAAACGCGACGAGGACTCGTCCCTCATGCAGCTGAAGGAGGAGTTCCGCACGTATGAGGCGCTGCGACGCGAGCATGACTCGCAGATTGTGCAGATCGCCATGGAGGGGGGGCTGCGCATCGCCCCTGACCAGTGGTCCTCGCTGCTCTACGGAGACCAATCACACAAGTCCCACATGCAGTCCATCATCGACAAGGTAGCTCGCCAAGCACCACTACAGTCCCATGTCACGTCAGATATGAACGCTACCTACTTTGGCCCATGATTAACATTTTTTTTTGTGAAGTTAAGCATTTAGAAATTCAGATTGTGCAAGACCACCATGTTATAAAATCTAAATAAAATTGCACCTCTAGCACAATGCATAGCTTTTATCCTGTGATACCTTAAGTTTAAGCCAGATCCCTCACTGAATCAAAAACAAGTCTGGCCTTTCTGTATGAACTAGGAAGTTGAGGGCTTGCAGAGTTTGCAGGGCGTGCGGTTTAAAGTGATGTCCTGGCCCACAATAGCCACAAGGTGGCGCCAATGTCAGGTGCCACTCGGCAATTCTACTTTTTGCAGCTGTGCATCTCTGGGGAGCTTTGGAGTCAGGACAGCTTGTGGGCGGTGGGGGGCGGGGAGGTCACCTGCTGACTTTTGAGGACGGCTGCCGGGGCTCGCAGTCACACTGCTGCTCATTGGGGGAGGGGTTACCCACTTATTGTTTATCTGTGTCTGATTTGGCAGCTCCAGACGCCGGCATCGTTTGCACAGAGCGTCCAGGAGCTGACCATCGCCCTCCAGAGGACCGGGGACCCTGCTAACCTGAACCGCCTGCGGCCTCACCTCGAGCTTCTGGCTGACATCGATCCCAGCCCAGGTGAGCATGCAGGCCGGGATGAGTGGGAGCAGCAGAGAGCAGACATGCAAAGCCCGAATGGGCAACGGGATGTGACCTCACTGCTACCTTCCTGTCCAGATGCTCCACCCCCAATATGGGAGCAGCTTGACAATGGGTTGGTGGCAGTGAAGACTGTGGTCCATGGCCTGGTGGACTTCATCCAGAACCACAGCAAGAAGGGGAATGATCAGCAACAGGTGAGTCACCATCAAATGTGTGCCATCAAAAACGGTCTTACCGATAGGCTCAGGTGGAATCTAATTTTCCATACCATTATATACCATGGTATACGGTATTCTGACTTCCTGACCGTTGGCATTCCTGACAGCCTGATTTTGAGTGTTTCTTGATGTCAAATGTGATTGTGCTGGTCACACTCGCATGTCTGATTTGCAGCCGTCCCAGCACAGCAAGTACAAGACATACATGTGCCGGGACATGAAGCAGAAGGGGGGGTGCCCCCGCGGGGCCAGCTGTACCTTTGCGCATTCCCAGGAGGAGCTCGACAAGTGAGTATTTGGTCTGCCTCATCATGCTTGCATCCTCTTTGCGGCCCATCGCAGAGCGAGCAATCTCTCGGTCCGGCTGCAGGTACCGCAAGATGAGCAGGCGCCCTCCGGCGCGACGCCCCCACTGCCCATCCATGTTGCCGGGCGGTGAGGCGGGGCTGCCAGATGAGGACGAGGTGGCCCGTGATGCCCTGGCCCGGAAGTCGCCTGGCTTCAGCAACGGTATCATAGCGGCGGGGCCCGGCTCGCCACTGCCACAGCTTATATCGCGGGGCCCCAGTTCCTGTGACCCCGGGCGCAAGCCATCCAGGATCGACGCTGGCAGCCCTGTTGCCCCGGGATCACCCCCGGACTGGTGAGCGAACTGCCTCTGTTTCCCCTTCCGTTTTAACCCTCTCTTCCTGGCTTCTCAATCTTGGCCTTGCCTTCTCCTGGTTAAAGCCGGTGTGTTTTTAACCAGGTGGCTGAATTACAGCAGTAATTATTGCAGGAGGTGGCGTTCAAGGTCATCCTCAGGAGTTTGGCCTCCATTGTTTGGCTGGTCATGCCTTTGCTCTAGTGCGATTGCTCCTGTCTGTGTTTTGCCACGTGCATTGGTATTCAGGCTCGGGTTTCCCCCCTCAGCCTGGACCCCGTCCCCAAAACGCTGGTGGCGATGAACCACCACTTATCGAACCAAAGGCAAACCCTCACAGGCCACCGGCAGGGGACCCTGGTCCACAGGGGTCCCCCCATGTACCCGCAACAGCAGGCTGAGGTCATCTACCCCGAGCCCCGGCCTCCGGGTTCTGCAATGCAGTATGACTCCTCCCATTACCCTGCAGGTAAGAGGCCGGCCGCCCCCCCCCGCCCCCCAGGGACTTCCCTTTCTGTAAGGTGACTGAGGCCTTCCCATATAAATACAGCTGCCCGGCAATGTGTGTGTTTCTGTTCTCCACTGCAGGAACCCCCTATCCCTACCAGCCCTCGCCATATCTCCCGAAGCGCTACCTCCGCACCTCCTCACAGGCCAGCGAGCCGGGCCTGCTCCCCTACCAGGAACCCTACGCGGGACCCTATGTGCCGGAACGCCAGTACACCACCCCTCAATCTGGGCCTCAGTTTTCCGCCATGTTCCACCACTACGATGCGCGGCGCCCCCCCCCTACAAGCCAGTCCTACCTGCCACGTGACGACCTGGTCCGCATGAGTCCCGGCCCTGTCGATGTCCCCCCACCGCCACCTCCCCCTCCCCCATCGACGGGATCTGCATACCTTCAGGAATCTTCCCGGGAATTGTACTCCTCGGATACATACTGCCCCGTGGGGCCTCACATTCAGGTGCGGCCATGGGTGAAGGTGAGACACCGCCTGCTTTATTCAAGTCCTGAACAATACAAATGTGAGTGTCAAAAGAGTAATAGTCACGCTTGGACTGGCTCTATGCTGATTGGCTCTTTGCCGGCTCAGTAGGAAAACGCTCAGAGCTTCTTAAATGTGTGGCAGGGTACTGGCCATCTTAAAATTCAGAGAGAAGAACGTGAAACGTGTCAGGGGATGGCATGTAGCGTTGTCTGGAGGATGAGTAGATCAGTACTTGGTATTTTATTATGAGCTAATAGTAATAAATATTGTCATTTATAGCACATAAGTGCTAATGAGTCATGTGACAGGAAACAAAGTACAAGAAGTGTCCGAATGTGTAGCGTCTCATAATCTGGTGAAGATGCTAGCGCTTAAATGCAGCCCATAATAATTATCTGCAAGTTTGCTCCATGGTTATTTGATGGCCTATAAACTGAAGGCTTTATCAACATACTGACAGGCTACATAATTCACTACGAAGATAAGCTTTCAGGTACAACTTCAGCCATGTTGATGTCAGTGTCTCAGACCTTTTCCTACTTTCTCTAAAGCCCCCATTAGTCTGTAATGTGGCAGGCTTATAGTGGGAATCCTGGGGGACTGGTTTGACCCCTGTGGTCCTCTTCCTTTCAGCCCAACACCATTCAGGACCCCTACAGTCGGCCTCAGCAGAGCCTGGGTTCCCTGGTCCAGAGACGCAACGAGCTGATGGCCCAGCTGGAGGAGAGAGAAGTGCTCTCCCCTCCGCCGTTCACCCCCTCGCCGGTGCTGCCCCATACGTTCCCCAACAACTATCAGCGCAAGGTGAGTCCTCACTGCTGAGGTCGTTGTGAAGGTCACGAGAGGAATGCCGATGTGATTATGCCCCCCCCGTTTGTTTCAGTACATCGAGGAGAACTCGCAGGGCTACGGGAAGTGTCCCGAGGCCGACTATGAGAGCCAGTACTCCCCCTGGTCATGTGACACCATCAGCTCCTACATCAGCACCAAGGAGAGCAAGTCCAAAGAGAACGTGACGGCCAGCGGCATGGAGATGATGGTGAGTGAGGAGCGCAGGTTTCTGCTTTTCATAAAACAAGCCGTGCGTTAGTTTGGCCACTATCGGGAGGGTGTCTGTCAAACTGTTTTGAAATCTGTGTATCTGAGCATTTCAAAATGTCCAGCCTTGTCATCAAACACATTTCCTAATTTTGTAACGGCCTCAAATGGAGCTGCTGGTGGTTCCTGCAGCAAACGGGAAAGTTGGTGGGGTGTGGGTGTGCTTGTGGGTGGGGTCGCTGCATTTTATAGCAGCAGCACTGCTGAACGTGGCAGCAGCCTCATGTTGATGCCCGAGGGTGTGCAGGAGGCTAAAATAAACACATACCTAAGCAGTGTCTAGCCCCCTCTGGGGCTTGGGCTCTCCTCTGCTCTTTGGCACGGACTTGCTGGGCAATGCTGCTCCCTTTGACTATGAAACAGAAGCAGGGAGGTGAAGGTTATCTGTGGCTTATCTGCTGTTTGCTCTGCTGTTGTTGTTGGCCATCCAAAGGTCTGTCCGTGCTTGGGAGTTTTTAATCTCTTCGCCCGTGTTGGCGCCCGTTGGTTCACGTGGTTCAGTTCGCTGAGGATGCCGGCCCTGTGTTTATACCCGTTTCCCGGGTTTTTAGCATGAAGGGCGCGTTTCCCCCTTCAGTTACGTCGTCAAGCCAGATAACATCATGTGTGATTCTTGCATTTCAACTTATGTTTCAGTTACAGTAACGTGTCATTCAGTGCCGTAGCGGTGTCGGGCTTTAGTGAATCCCGGCCCATCCTGTGCTGGTTCTGACCATCAGGTTGGTGTGTGGTTGTTTGGAGGACTGTCACTGAAGGCTGTTCTGTGCCCCCGAGCGCAGAATTCGGAGAGCAAAGGGTTGAGGGAGCCGGTGATGGACCTGCAGCGCCGGGCGGCTGAGGCCAAAGACGACGACCCCATCATCCCATTCGGGCCACAGCCCACCGTGTCCCGCTTCGGGGCCATCTCCCGGACCTCCAAGATGGGCTACCAGACCACCGGGCCCATCCAGGCCATGGCTTCCTCTCAGGGGTCGGCCGCAAAACACCTCACGTTTGCCGGTATGGCTGCATCCCTCCTGCTCCTCGTTCTCTCTCCGTGTGCGAGTTGTGTTCTCTGATGTGTCCCTGCTGCTTCCTCGCAGCCGACTACACCTACGGGAACCACGGAGCCTGGGGAGGCAGCGCCTCTTACGCTCAGCACCAAAACATGGCTTCTCAGGGACACTTCAGTGAGCGGTAGGGGCAGCTCCGCCTACGTCGCCCGTGTCTACAGAGCCTCACTCCCCCCCAGCCTGTTGGCCTTAGTGCTCCCCTCTCTCTCTCTCTCTCAGCCCCCCCAGTCTTCCCACCCCCACCTCGGACCGGGAGCTGCTGAAGATGGAGCTGCGGCAGGTGAACGAGCAGATCAGCCAGCAGACACAGATGCGGGGTCTGGAGGTGTGTCTGGGTGCTTCACACGTCTGCCGTTTTGGAGCCCAGTATCCAGTGCTATGGGGAGGTCATCTGTGAAATTTCGGAACTGGATCGGCAGACACATGTAGAGGCTGGCAGCTCCCTTTGTCACTTTGAATTAAATTACATTGCATTAGTGAACAAAGACCCCAAAATCTCCATCTAAGACCAGCTTGATTGATGCTGATGAGCATCAGCAGTAATGCATTTGCTTAGGGATCCTCTTCTTCCTACATGCTGCCTGTTGAGTATTAATGCGTGTGGGGGGGTGGCTTTCCCTGCGCGGTTCTGCCTCCTGGGCTGCACTTGGCTCGCAGTTGAAGTGTCTGTGCCTCGCTGGCTCCTGTCAGTCGTCGGTGCCGTTGCTGGTCTCCTGTGTGAGTGACCTGTGACCTGTGTCCGTTTGCTCACTACCCTCCAGCATTTACGCCTTTCTTCCTACACTGCTTGTGCTGAAGTCTGGGACTCTGTTTATCCCCCTGTGTGGGCTCCCTGTGCCCCCCCCCGCCCCGCCCCGCCCCAGGCTGCCAGCAACACCCTGCTGCTGCAGAGGGAGGCGGGCCCACTAGCTCCTTCCCCCGGTCCCGGGGACTGGCCCGCGGGAGGCCTGTCCAGTGAGCAGCTAAGCCTGGAGCTGCACCACGTGGAACGAGAGATTGGCAAGAGGACCCGAGAGATGGCGCTGGTGAGTCGGCACCGGGGAGCGCAGAGGTGCTGGACCCAGAGATACGGGAGGGAACCGCCCGCATGCCGGCACCCCGCGCTCACGGCCACTGGCTCACCCGCCTGTCGCTCTGCTTTACCCCCTCTGCTGTTCTCTCTCTCTCTCTCTCGCTGCCTCCCTCCCTCCTTCCTTTTTCATTATGACCTCACAGCTGCCTGTATATACTGTATGTTTTATCTTGCATATCTGAGATTTAGCACCACAAATGTTTCTCTGCATGTCGCCTCTCTAAGTTCTGTTTGACGGGTGGGGCGGGGGGGGGGTGTCACTGATGTCCTGCCTGGGTGACGCACCATGTCACCAACACCGCACTCCATCCAACAGACGACTGTATCGAAAGCTAGCAGGCGAAGCAAGTGCCGACTTGCCTCTTTCCTTCAGGAGAACCACCTGTCCCATGAGGTGAAGTTTAAGATGAAACCCTTGGAGAACGGGCAGGCAGAGCACGACGGCCAGCGCGAGGACGTGCCCCTGGGCCTTGGGTGAGCAGCCAGAACCCCGACACAGCCCCCCCCCCCCAGCTGTGGTGTATGTCTGTCTGTCTGACTCCATTCTCCTTCCCCCATTTGGCAGCGAGGTCTCCAATGGCTCAAGCAGCCTGCCTCAGGACAGCAGTGTCACCTCCCTGGCCAGCAGGACGTCCTCCCTCAGCCTGGCCAGCGACCTGGGGGGCGGCTCCTCGGACCTGCAGAAGAATGGCGTGGTTCACTCCTGCTCCTAGTCCCTGGTCCAGCAGCCCTCCCCCCAATGCAGATCCATCGGCAGTTGGCCCCCCCAGCCCCGCTGGCCACACCCGGCCCCCGTTCCCTCAGACTCGTTGGCGACTCTATGGAAACGAGGGCCGGAAGCCTCCGGATCCCCAGCCTCAGCTGCGAAAGGCCGTTTTAGGCTTTCAGCAGCTGCAGAGTAGGACCTGCCTTAGATACACCGTGGGATTGGGGGTCACCGCTTGCGTTATATTTGCATATGGGGGTGGGGTTATGTAAATGACCTCTGTGGATTTAGACCGCAGTCATGCAAGTGCACCCAGCTGGCACAAGCCTTTAGAAATAAGCAGCATCTGCAGTGTATTTGATATCTACTTTTTGTTCTATGAATGATTTTTTTTTTTTTTTTTTAAATGGAACTCATTGCATTGGATGGTCGTTTGCTAAACTGATATTTAAAGTATTTTTAGGTTATTCAGAAAGTCGCCAGAATAGGTCAAATTTAAGAAAACAAACACGAGGAAAGTGAAACTTGTAAGCAAATTTTTTGGTGAAGTGACATGTTCACCTACTTGGGTGTTTACCGGAATTACGGCAGTAATGGGATTCTGACACCTGGACTTCCTGTCTGCTGCAAAGGCTCCTTTCTGTGGTTACTTGTCAGTCCCACCATTCGATTGTCTCTGAATATTCCTGACTTCTGGTTCGAAGTGTTTGAGGGTTTGGTTTCTGACAGCAGGGGAAACTCCATTCAGGGTGACCCTCTTAGGGCTCCTGTTGCTGATAAGGGGGGTTTACTCGATGGCACAGGCCTTACCTGTGTTAAGAATTTTGTTTACCGTATTTTGTCTAAAAAAAGTGACTTTGAGGCATTTGGAGAATTTGTGGGGTTTATACAACATGAATGTTTTTAAAGTTACAAATTAATGTCTTACAGTCTGTTTTCCGGTATCATTGGGCTAAACTGAAGGCCTCTGGTTTCCAGGACGGGCCTATGTTCTCCGTGGTTCCTCCGCTCACTGGGTGCCGTGTAATGGAGCTGGACGGGAGGCTTTCCTCCCCGTTTCATACTTCCACAGTAACTCTGGGTCGCTCTGGATGTAGGGCCACCACACCTCCTGTAGCATCCACCTCTGGAGAGGCAGAACAGCCAGAGAAAACTACTATTTCATATTGAATTTGAGCCGTCGCTGTGCTCGGTGGGACTGGGAGGGAAAGGCTGTGTCGCGCGTCTTGGCATTCGAGCCTTTGTTTCCCGTTTGGTTTTATTGCAAACTTTTTGTATTAATAAAAAAAATATATTCCACAATTTTTAGGCGCAAACCTCCTGTTGACAAAATGGTGGACAGATCTGTCTCCTAGGCCCAGGCTGTCGGGGGTGTCGTAGCGACACGGGGACGGACTGGGACATTCTGTTATTAAGAATGCCCAGTAAGGAGATCTCTGTGGCAACCAGAGCTATGGTCTTGCACGCCAAGCGGTCCTGCCACTGTGCCACACGCATTTCACCGCTACGTTCATGCCTTGCACATGCCGCCCTCATTCACTGCGTTCACAGGAGTTCTGTGACCTCATTTTGTCAACAGGTGGGGAAAAAAACGTTAAATTTAACGTTAACTTCTATGAAGTTGTTAAGGAATGTTAATCTCTGCGCTGGGAGGTGTCTGAGGGAGTGTGGTGGCACCACGATTCCCCTTTAACCACATGATGTACCTACAGTCTCTCTGACATTATGCTTGCCAGTACTTTCCCCACAATTTAATGACCGTCTTCCAGGAAGGAAAAAGATCTGACTTCCAGCAAATATTTCATATTTTTTAAATGATATATTGCTGTGGAAATACTTTACATTTTATATCCCAAGAATTTCACACTGTTTAATTACAAACAACTGATACTTCTGTTTTAATCTAAAGGATTTTTTTTATACAGCTGTTGTCTGGGAAGTAAAAATAACAAAGAAATTCTAAGCTTATTTCACTACTGAGCATTTTTCCAGCAAATGTTATGCTGTGGCATCATGGATCTGGATGCTCAGAAAAAGGCTGAAATTCCTGATCTTCCCATGTCTTCTCATGCCCTGTTTCACTCCAGGAGTCTGACATTACTGGAGAAATCAGTCGAGTGACAGCAATATTCTCCAAAGGATTGTTGGCTTTGTACAGGTTGAGCTTCATAGCTGGAGTGGTTTTCTCATTTTGTCTGTTGTACTCGAGAGATCACAGCTGTACGTAAAACCACGGGGAATCCTTATGTTAGGAAAACTGGCAGTGTAGTCGATCTGTTCCACATTAATAAGAAATATTCCCACAAAGAGGAAAACAGGAACCCCTCTCCCCAAAAAAAAGAATAATGCAAACATACTGAAGTTCTGGCTTTATGACGGGATTATAATAATTCTTTTTCCATTCTGATGGCTTTGGTCAGAACAGATTTGGACTTGCAGTAACAGGCAGTGAGGATAGTGGAGTGTAAACCCGGAATGTTTCTCCAAGCGGACGCACTGCAGACCTTTTGGTGGGTCCTTGCTTGCTCATTCCTCGTGTTACTTCTGAAGGTACTGTAAGTCCCATATTTTTAGGAAGAATTAATATCACCTTGCATTAGTAGTTCTTGACATACTCGTACTTAAGACATTGTGAGGATCACCATGATGTTAAGGTAAATGACGCCATTGCACAGTAGTGCTCAGTTCTTCACTGTACACCTCATGCAGTCACCCAGTAGGGTAGGGGGCTTTCAGTTTGTTCAGTGCAGGTTGTCTTGGGTGAGGTAGTGCTCAGTGATTTTCAGTGTGTCGCTGTTAGGCAGTTATCTGCCTGCCTTTGTTGGGGGGAGGGGGGGTCGCTTTCAGGTCTGACGTGAGGATGCAGGGATTCCCAGCGGCGACACATTCCCTCCTCACATTGCCGCCTTTTCTCCTGGTCTGCCTCCACCGTAACACAAGTAGACTGATGTACATTTTTGCTACATTAGTTGTCTTAATTGGCACATCCACCAATGCCCTTTCTACGCTACTCTTTTGGTTACTTTGTTTACTTATCTATACTGGTCTTTGGAGACAGTCTGCGATCTTAAAGCACCTATTTTGGTGGAACCAGTTGATTTCTGTGTAATGTTGCTTAATACATTTATAGTTGTTTTTATGCTTGTGAAAGAGCTTTGGACTTCTAAGCAATCGCCAAGATTGGGCACAAAACAGCCCTGTCGGACATGGCCACCCCCGGAAGGCAGGCTGCTTTCAGCCAGCCGCCCCAAACCCGTCTCTAAACTGCTGCTTCGGCACCATCCTTTGGGTTTCAAATTCTGAAGCAGTGACCTCCCTTGTCTGGCCTCGGCTGACTTTCCCTTCGGTTGTGTGGCAAGACTTGTTGTTCCTCCCAGTTGTTCAACTTTCCAATCTTGAAAATTGCATGCACCCTGTGATGGTTCTCCATTTATTACCTTTTAACTAATGTGCTTTTAATCCAGTCAGGGTGTGAGAACAGACCTGGCTTCCAACATTAATATCCTCTGTCGTTCGGCCGTGCAGATCCCTCCGCGCTTTCGACGTGCCTTTCTGACGGGCTGATGGCGATTTCGTTAGTTTGTGTTTTGTTCTCCAGGACACAGCACTCCAATGCAGGGCCGCTTCCCCATTCGCTTCGAGTCTGCATTTATATTAAATGACCTCTATGGATCGGTAATGCGAAGATCTGTGAGAACTGCTTACCAATGCTGAGCTGATTATCGCTTACTATTTCTAAGGTAAAGAACTGCCTTGGCAGCAATTACAATGTGTTTATGTAGCTGTTTTTTCAACTGCTCAGAAAAAACCATTGGCATTTTTAAAAATTGGTCTTTTTTCCAGTATTTAATACCTCACCGCGACTCATTTAACTAGGGTTATATAAATATACCTGCACATAATTCTCATTTTTATTACCTTTTCAAGTTTGCAATTAATTCAGGGATTAAAGATTTTAAAAAATGTTTTGTAATTAAAAATGTGTGGGGAATTTGAACATGCTTGAGTTCAAGTCCTCACGTTGCTGAGCAGGTTTTAAGTGGTTTAGCAATTTCTAATTTTTGTATATATCTTACTGGCAGATGTAACTGAGCACTGGATTCACCGTTCATCATTAACCCCCACCCCACCCCCCACCATGGAAAGGCTGTGGTCGGCACCAGTTCTTCCTGAAAACATTGTAACTATGTAGCGCGCTTCGTGACGACGTCTCGACAGCGATTAGCCAGATTCCTGACCCTCCTGACTCTCAGGCCGCTGCCTTGATCATTGATCCCTGACGGAAACACGTTTGAGATTCGCTCCATTTTGAAAATGGATTCTCTCCTGGTCACTCCGCTTTCACTAGCCACGCACGAACACACACAGCTTCCCCGCGCCGGTCACTCAACCTGGTGAGCGGTCTGACAGGGGTGCCCCCCCCCCAGCAAATGGTTTGAGGAACAGTGAGATTGGTTATCCCACTTATGCTCCTGTTTTCTCAGTAGTAAGATGTTCTCTTAGGATAGGCAGATGGGAGGGGTAGGGGGGCATAGCACAAAGGGCACATTCTAGTAGCAGTGTTGTAGCTCGTAGTTTTAGGTCAGTGTTTCTCAACCCGGTCCTCAGGAGCCCCTGTCCAGTCCACGTTTTTGCTCCCTCCCAGCTCCCAGCCAGACAGCCTACTTTTTTGCTCTCTACTGGGAGTTGGGAGGGAGCAAAAACATGGACTGCTGGGGACCCACATGGACCGGGTTGGGAAACACTATTAGGTCATTCACAGGATTTTTGGAGGAGTCTGTCCACTCCAGTTCCTGCACTCCAGGCACGCCTGTTAGGAGTCCGTATACTCCGGCTGAGTGTCCGTGTTCAGTCTCAGACTGGCTTTGTTATCACGAGATCAGGCTGTTCTTGCATAGTTTTGAATTTTACTCCTAACACTGGGAAATGTAATTGCTGTTCGATTACTCCCATGTTGTCTTGTAAAAGATTGCTTAAATTAAGGTACAAGTTAACTTCAAGAAAAAAGTTTGTTTCTTATATTATACTCCATTAAGGAATGTTTAGAATTATATTTCTCCAATGTGGATGTAGCTGATAATATACCATTTTCTTCGTAAAAGAATTCACTGTGTGAAAATTTGTTTGCATTTTTGTATAATACAATCTGCTTCTTGTTTCTTTTGACTTGGGAAGGGATGACAAACTGGAAGTTTGGGGGAAAAATATAAAAAAAAACTGTGAAATTAAAAATGTAAGTTATGTGTAACAGTGATTCTTTACTGGCAGGGACTGTGATTAAATAATTGTAAATCTCCTGTTGTCCAGTGTGGTTTTTACACCTCAAGACGGCCCCAGCACCTGCACCAATTAGTCAGGGATCTTTACCTCTCGACTTGAGGGGTTTGCTGTAAATGCACCACTTCTTTAACCTTGATTCTGAGAACCCAGGGGGTTTAAGGTTAATTAAATATTCTAATTAATCCAACTCATTTGCATTTGAAGCATATTTAACATGGTAAACACTTCTCTTAATGAGTTACATGTGGAGTGCTCTGAGCTGCATTTACTTAATCCACTTTTTCTGAATGGCACCCCATTTCTTTCCGGTCATCATTGTTTCCTTTAGGATCTAAAGACTAACCTGAATATGCTGCTGTTTAAATAACTGGTCTTGAGCCTGAAAGGCCTTGATTGGATGGGCGTGGCAGCACTGGGCCTGACGGCCTGCCTGTCACTTTACTTCAGCACCCGGATGGGTAAGGAGGAGTTAATGAATATTCAGTGGCTGGGATTTTAAGAAAAGTTGTAGATATATCATGCCATCTTTAAACTCAATTGGCTCCTTGCATCATTCTCTTTGTAGAAGTTACTCTCACTGTAAAAAGACAAAGGTGGAGCCCCCAGCCTTAAAGTTTAATAACCTTATTGGTTAAATACATGTTTTTATTTTTTTAAAAAAAGTTGTTTGGTTGCTCTGTGTCTCTATCCCAGTCACCTAACAGATGTGTTTGGCAATGCTGCACTGTTTGCTGAGCTTTGGGCTAAAGGACAGAGCCCTCCCCAGGAGTTTGGTGCTCAGTTTCAGTAGGGGGACAGGGGGGGGCAGCAGCATGGTTTCCAGGAAAAATGTTTGTGCTTTGATAGACGTCTAAGCTCTAAAAACTTTCCTTGATCTTATTTGTTAGCTACACATTTGATGCTTATTTTCTATCAAAATGATTTTACTTAGTGTTTGTGAAGGCAAAAGCCATTCCTTTGGGTTGTGCATTTAGCAAGTGATCAATAGCTCAAAGGTAACTGAACTGTGTTGATCTGAGCAAATTATTCTCCCCAAAAGTCCCAGGATGCACCGCAGCGTACTGACCCATCTGCTTCTTAGTGCCTCTGTACCCTGCCTGACAGGCTGCTCTCTTCAAGCCCCATTTCTTACAGAATAAGTTATCGAATACAGGTAAGCTTGTGTTTGTGTTTTTTACTTTTTTCTGCTAAACCAATTCATTCTGGACTCGTAGTATTTTTTTTTTTGTTGAATTACAGTCTATGGGCACTTTTCATTTCAGAAAATCAACAGCATTGAACAATTTGCTTTACTCAAAATTAGAAGAAAACTCTGAAAATGAATTACTATTATAATGCATGAATTTCCCAAGATTTAATTGACTGTGAAGTAACTGATTCTGTAAATGATAATTATTTCGGAGATACATTTTATCTGAATAGTTAATTTGGTAATGATAAACTGTCATCATGTGGCATCTATGTCGATGGGACCATTAATCGACATCTAGCTGCTGTTCCTGTGTATTTTGGCATTTGCAAAGCAGTGTGAATATGAACAGCAGGAGTCAGAGGTGTCTATTCCTCATTATTTTGGACAAGCAGCATATCTGATGACCCATGGCCTTCAAACAAATTATTTTGTGGTATATAAACAATAATGCGTGGGAAGCTGCTGTGTACATTGTTCTGAGCCTTGGTGCACCTTCTAAGCCACTCAGTTTTCAGATTCATTTCTGACAAAAGACTGAAGACATCACTACTGATCCTGGCATGCGTGTTAAATATAATTATACTGGTTCAGTAATTTGAAATCTTGCTGGTGACCATTTGGTTTAGCTTGGGCAACATGACAACTATTTGCTGTTTGTCCTAAAAATATTGACATTGTACTGACCTCTGTCTCTGCTGGAATCTCTGGCTGCTCTGGAATAGTATAGGAAGGTCGAATAACGATCATAGGCAGGGCTCTTCTTGGTCCAGCAGGATGAGTTGGCCTGTTGGCGTCTGGTCTCTGTGGCTTCTGTGCCTGGCGTCGGCTGTCCTGGGCCTTGTCGACATCTGTAACACCAAGCCCAAAAGCCTGAAGCTGGAGCCCATGTGTGTCCATCGCAAGCCCGAGTCTCCCGAAAAGGGCACGACACTGGAGCAGGGGCCCGACAAGGTTCCCAACGGCACCAACCCCCGGGTGTGGGAGCTGTCCAAGGCCAACAGCCGCTTCGCCCTCACCCTGTACGGGCACCTAGCACAGGCTAAGCCCAGCACCGCCAACATATTCATGTCCCCCCTCAGCATTTCCAATGCCTTCGCTATGACGAAGCTGGGCGCCTGCAACTCCACGCTGGAGCAGCTCATGAACGTAAGAGTTGGTGGCTCTGGGGTGACACCGCAGCTGGCATGGGGGGAAGTGGGTGCAAGCAACAGGAAGTCAACTACTCCCCACTCCACCCTACAATAGTAAAATGATTTGAGGGTGACCCAAATACAGCTAAACATCAGCAACACACTTCTGGGATTATGCCCAACTCACTCACAGTGTTGTGAAGTAACTAGTTACATGTAATGACATTACATAATGAAATTACAAAATAAATGTACAGACACTCCCTTAGGCTAGGCCATGATGTTTATTATGAACTGTATTAAAATGCATTTTCGCCTTACAATAGGTTTATCGGAACATAACCCCATTGTAACCTTGTAATCTGTTACAGTTAAAGAGGAAAAAATATGTAATATTAGTTACTAATCAAAATGTTGGTGATCATAAAGAGGTTACATCCAAATATATTCTTTGTAGAATATATCATTCTTTTTGTTGTTTTGCATCTTTTCGCCATGTGGAAATACCATTTGGCATATTTCCAGACAATGTGGCTCAGCAAAGCCAGGATTGGCATTTTCAGCTTTATTGCCCACTTTAAAACATTTGTTAGAAAAAGTAATCAAATGCAATTATATATTACTTTGATGAAGTAATCAAAACACATACATTACTTATTACATTTTAAACAGCTATTTGCTATTACCTTTCAAAAGTAAACTTCCCAATCACTGTTCACTGTGATTATCTGTATGACAGGACATGCACAAAATGACTTTAAGCTTCTAGGATGTTTTGAAACTTTTTTCAATTGAGTATGTTACTACAGTAGCATTCTGGATGCATGTACAATGTCTTAGCTTCCATGCTACATCTGTACTAATCTTTAAATCTCATATCTAATCTGCCTCTTGCAGGTTTTTGAGTTTAGCTCTATCAAGGAGAAGACATCTGACCAGGTTCACTACTTTTTTGCTAAATTGAACTGCCAGATATATCGTAAAAAGCATGAATCCATTGAACTGGTCTCAGCTAACCGCCTGTTTGGGGAGAAGTCCTTCCTTATCAACGAAACCTTTCAGAACATCAGTGAGCTTGTGTATGGAGCCAAAATGATGCCACTCAATTTCAAGGTCACTCATATCACCATGACGCTTTCCTGTAAACAGACCGTTAGGGTTTTCACTGTACTTGACTGTAGCTCTTTTTACACCCTTCCCTCCAGGAGAAGCCAGAGTTATCACGGATGATAATCAATGAATGGATTTCCAATAAGACAGAGAATAAGATCCAGGAGACGCTTCCAGATGGGGCAATAGACTCCAATACAGTGCTAGTTCTGGTGAACACCATCTACTTTAAGGTGCTTAAAGAGAATTGGGCCTCATCTGTTATCCTGTAGAGTCTGTAAAATGGCCCGTCTTGCCACTTTCAGAAGAGTGTCTTGTCATGTGGTTTGTGTCATGCTGTTCCTGCAGGGCCAATGGGAAAGGCAGTTTGATAAGGAGAACGTCTTCAAGACAGAATTTTTTGTTACCGAGTCACATTCTTGCCCCGTGTCCATGATGTACCAGGAGCACAAATTCCACTATAAGATGTTCAGTGAAGATAAGGTCCAAGTCCTTAGCCTTCCATACAAAGGTGGAGAAATTTCAATGGTTCTCATCCTGCCCAGAAAAGACACGCCACTGTCCGAGGTTGGTCTCCACCTTGTTACTGTCTGTCTTAGCTGAGTAAGCAAGACTATGATGTTATAGCATTTACATATAACCTTTCAGTTCCAAACAAAGGGGTGCAGATATAACTGATGATATAAGGAGAGGATGGAGAGCTGGAATGAATGAGTAACAAGGCAGAGGGGGTTTGATATCCAAGTTGGGCTTGATAACATCAACATGTAGAACTATGGTAGCAAGAAAATGTACTTCACTGAAGCTTACAGTCACAGGAACTCCTGCTATGAACCTTGCTTTGAAAAGTTGTTTCTGTATATCGCCATCCAGTATAATTCCAGGAGCTAATTAATGCAATATGATCATAAGTAAGCTGTTTTATATAGAACTGTTTTTCCTGGAAAATATATGAAATGTACAGTCTTGTGTTTTAAGATTGAGAGCAGCCTGCAGTTAAAGAAACTGTCTGGCTGGCTGGACGCCTTGGTGGAGACCAAGGTGTCCATTCAGATCCCGAGATTCCGCATAGAAGATGAGTTCACACTGAAGGAAAATCTTGAAGCACTGGGCCTGAAGGACCTCTTTGACCCGAGCCGGGCCAGCTTGCCAGGTATCTCATCCTTGAAAAACACTCCAAATATTAGCAATTTAATGATGCTGCTTTTCTAGGGCCACAGGGTTCAAGCAACTAGATGACGCGAGACCAAGACATCTGATTGGTTGGACCCACTTCCTCTACAACTGATACCATCATTCATAGACAATGCAGTACACTCAAAATAATGAAGTTATTCACTAAACTCAGGTGGTTTGCATTCGTCCCCCCATGGATTCAGTGCCAGCATTTTGGCACTATGCCTTTATCAGTGTATCAGACTGATTATTTCATAAAACCTTCTAGACATTTTTTTTTTAATATCTAAGTGATGTTAACACCCAGCTTGGAAAATCTTTCAGGAATTGGTGGAGAAAGGGAGAATAATCTCTACATCTCAGACGCTTTCCACAAGGCATTCTTGGAGGTACGTTCGTTGCTTGTTATTTAATATACCTCACACTGCAGGAGAAATTGTTATTATTAGTGATATTTTGTTGACAGAACTACTTCTCTGCAAACTGTAGGTGAATGAGGAGGGCAGTAAGGCTGCAGCTACCACGGCTGTGGTGGCCGTTGGCCGCTCCATCAACTTCCAGCGGGAAGTCTTCATCGCCAACCGTCCCTTCCTCCTGCTGATCCGGATGTCCACCACCAACACCATCATATTCAATGGCCGCGTGGCCAACCCATGTGACCAGCTTTAGAAGGTGTGCTCCTCAGAGACGCCTACAGGGGGCGGAGCCTGTCATTGCCGCAGGGCTCACAAAAGAAAGATATGTTTGTATGTTGTTGTGTTGTGCTCCTCAAATAAATTGACCAAAATCCCTCTCTGCTTGCCCTGGTGTTCATGCACGTTATGATCGCTCCTTAAAAAAGATGCTACTGCCACTTGAGTTAAAGGTTTCTTGGCAGTGGTGGCTTGATGGTTAGGGTAGTGCACTTGTAATTGAAAGATTGCAGGTTCGAATTCCCCACTAGTAAGTCACCACTGAGGTACCCTGAGCAAGGTACCGTCCCCAAGCACTGCTCCCCGGGCGCTGAATTAGCTGCCCCCTGCTATGTCACGAAAGTCACATATGGGTCAAATGCAGAGGTCACATTTCGTTGTTGCGCACTGTGTGCTGTGGTGTGTTGACAATAACCACTGATCACTAAGTTCTAAATTCTTCCTAATTTGTTAAACGAAATGCAAGAAAGTGTTAATTGATTTTACCATGATGAGTCCTATACCACAGAAACCTACAAACTATGTGACCACTGTCATCCATTATAAGAAAAAAAGTATCCATTATAACTGCCAACTATGCAAAAACATACTTCATAAAGACAGACATCAAGAACTCCATTTGTGACATTTTCAAACCATTTTATTGGTTTTATGTAACATATGGCAAAATCAAACAATGGATTTATCACTCCTTAAATATACTACACTTTCCTTCACAGTAACACGTAAAGTGCTTTGCTTTAGGAAATATTTCATTTATATCTATGTAACAGTAAGTACTGTGAGCAGTTATTCACACTCCATAAAGTGTAGCACAACCATGACTATTAGCTATAAAACTTAAATGTCCCTCCAACCATGACCCACCTATAACCACTGATACAGCACATTATAAGTGCACTGAATGAATCAATGAATAATAAAAATGTCATGAAAACCTCTAAACTCAAGTGCTAAATGATTCCCAAGGAGAGAATTTCATATAAAACTAATTTTTCATGTTGTTAGTTGGAGCTACTAGATATTACATTTTGCCTTTATTTTAAATCTCAGATGATGTTTAAGTACAATTTATTCAGGCAATCGGTTTCAATAGTTTCTTCATTTGAAACCTGTGCTGTTCAGTATAAACTAAAACGTTCAGTAACACAAACAATATTACTCTTGGTAATGTATTTGGTAAGTTCTGGAAATGCACCAAAAATATCTGAAACACAACTTTGATTGTAATGCTTCTTCACAAATCCATCCATTTTCTGAAACTACTTAATCCTATTCAGGGTCATGGATGCTATGAGCACAAAGCAGGGAACAACCCAGGATGGGAGCAGCAGCCCATCACAGGGACACCTATGGGCAATTTGGTAACTCCAATTAGCCTCAGCATGTTTTTGGACTGTGGGGGAATACCAGAGGAAACCCCACGATGACACGGGGAGAACATGCAAACTCCACACACATGGAACCAGGGCAGAGACCCAGGTCCCAGGGGTGTTAGACGACAGTGCTAAGCACTAAAATGCTATAAAAGGGAAATATATTACTGCAGATAATTTTCATTAAAAAATAACTAAGAAAGTAAACAACATGACCGAAACGTGTGAATATTTTTGTTTGCAATACCATTGTAGCCCTGTGACTCTGCACATGCATCCCAGCACAGATATTCCTGTTTAGCTTTTTGCACCTAAAGGGAAAAATTATGATACTGAATTTTGTTCTGTCAATAACCAAAACATACATATTTTGATTTCACTACAAACCAGGGTCTCAGATATAAGTTTCACTATATATTGTACCACATACTGGAGACTGGGGAAGCACAAACACCAGCTTCCCTGGGTCCGAATGCCCTCTTTTTTCACACATGTAATTAATTTTTGTACAAAAGGCAAATCTGCACCCATTTGGCAAAATAGTAACAACAATGATAAACTTCAACATCTTCAAAGACAGCATGCTGACCTTGACTGGTCCCTTAATAGCTCACATTAATGTCTCCATCTTGGCCTGGATAATAATCAGATTGTGTTTTATGAATGAAATGTACATTAAATTATAAAAAAGGATGTTTATGTGTGTACTGGATCATTTAATCAAATATCTATGACTAGACTCAGGATGTCTGAGTAAAATACAAACATCCACAAGGTCAGTGACCAACATGCTTCAATAAACTGTATAACATGTAACATTACCCACACTGTTTATCACAGAATAATATTATTTCTGAATATTTTTTTCAAAGAACACTTCTTTGAAACCACGTGTATCTTTATGCTCACGTAGGGAAATATGAAGATTACTACCAGACCTATACATAGGAGTAAAAAAAATGCATAAACCTGTTATCAGCTACTGCTGAACACCTGTAATTTGTGCAGACAGAGGTATGTAAAGCGAAGGTGGAAATCTGCTGGTTTGAGTATAACTGAGGTTGAGATTAGCTATGTTGAGGGTAGCTGAGTTGCAGATCACCCATGTTGGGTGTAGCTGAGGTTGCGACTGGCTGTGTTGGGTGTAGCTGAGGCTGAGATTGGCTGTGTTGGGTGTATTGCGGCTGAGATTGGCTGTGTTGGGTGTAGCTGAGGTTGAAATTGGCTGTGTTGGGTGCAGCTGAGGTTGAAATTGGCTGTGTTGGATGTAGTTGAGGTTGATATTGGCTGTGTTGGGTGCAGCTGAGGAGATCAGTTGTGTTGGCCATAGTTGAGGTGGATATTGGCTGTGTTGGGTACAGTTGAGGTGGAGATAACCTGTGAGCGACTGCATGTAACAAAACACCCTATAAAATCAGTAGCCGTTTTAAAACTTGCATTCAAGCAAAGAATCCCAGGGGTGTAAATTCACAGCTCAGAGTATAAAAACTGCAGTACATTAGTCACCGGCTACATTTGCTTTTTTCAGAAAATTTCTGCTCGCAATATGACAAGTACAAGAAGTACAAATACAAATGTACTACTTACGTAAATTATACATAATCTCAGTATTTCTGGAGTCATTTAAAAATCAAGATCTGTAATGAAGTGTTAAATATTGTCGTTTTAGTTTACGAGTGTTTCTAGGAGTTACAGAATAATGTTATTTTCTTGGCGAACAAGGCTTGCTGAGATGTTGCCCATGTCTCCGCATTCCTGGAAGCCCTGAATCCTTGATCCACAGATCCCCTTCCAAGCACCATGCACGGCTTCCCTGTACAAGCAGTTCATTAATTTGTGAAGCGATGACTTTGATGGGTACTTTGTGGTTTGGTCTGTTTCCACATGTGTTACTCAAGCTCTGAGAAACACACAGACACAGTTTAGTCAGAATGTATGAAAAGATCCTAAAACAGTCATATGTATGTAGGGAAAAAAGGACCGTGAGGAAATATAAAATCTCCACACAAAAGTCCGTCAAGTGCGTGTATTACTACACCTGTGCTATGGCCGTAATATGCGCTAACAGTCATAAAGTAGCTTATCTACAGGTCGATATTGTGTTTCTTGTTCTCTGAAGAGTAAACATTCAGCAGCAGATTTGGGAAACCATGAGAGAGTATATTCATGTATAAATACCCTGGCTAACTAGTATACGGCTAATGAAAGTCTGAAAAGTGTCTGAAATGGACAAGGATTAGAGTGTACGCCTCCCCCTCCCAGCTGGCTGTAGATGGTACAGCCCATACTCATTTACGCTAGCTGCTCTGTCACAGCATGTGCGAGTTGCTTGAGGAAACATGTTTGACTAACCTGAAGCAGATAAAACTGCTTTCCAAAGTTTGATCATCCAGATTGTCTTCATGCTAAATTTGTTCCCACTAATTAACGGGTTCATTTTAAACTTGAGTCTCGTACCTGACACACAAGGATTTCTCACTGTTATAAAAGGCAGGGGCGAACACCAACTGACCTAATCTGACCTGGCTTGCATCTACAAATATTCAAAATTCATGGTAAACTGGAAAAAAAACATTGTTTATAGGATAGTGTAAGGTAACTTGATAGAGGCATTAATGTGTTTGGTTGGCAAGCCAACGGCAGGCATCTCTAAGCGAGCACTTTGCCGAGCAGCCGGTTGGTCCTTTGAGAAAGTCCTCTCAGCTCCTCAATGCTGAGCACCATCAATCCTCCTGGGTCTCTGCCTTTGGTTCCGGTCCACAAGCCTCCACCTCCATAGGTCCCTACACTGTCAGAGAAAAGGGTACAGCCCAGGTGCAATTTTGTACCCCAATTTACGAACAACATTAATGCACCTCCAATGGTACAAAAATGCTCCTCAGAGTCCATTTCTCTACCTTAAAATGCCTACAGTTAGGCATTGGCAAACTCTTGAAGGTACAGCCCCAGTGAGAAGTAATTGTACCCCTCATTGGTACAAATTGGTAGTTTTTTTTCTGACGGTGTGTCAAAACAAATCGAAGGGAAAAAAGGTGACCCAGACCACCCACCACATCATGGTGTTGACATCCTTCTATCAGTCGGGTCCCGTGGTGGAAACGGAGGCCCCCCCGCCCCCGCCGGAGCCCTCGGGCTCCTCACGACCAGGGGAGTCATCCCCCCGGGGGCCGGCCTGCGTGGTGGTCTCAGGCGAGGCACTGTGTGGACCGCGGGCTGGGTGGTTCTTACGAAGGTGCTGGTTTAAGATGGCTTGGAAGGGGAAGCTCTTGCCACAAACGTGGCAGTGGAAGGGTTTGTTGCCCGTGTGCTTGCGGATGTGGTACTCCAGCTGGTCCTTGCGCGTGTACTTCTTGCCGCAGATGCGGCAGGCGAATGGCGTGATGCCCATGTGCAGCCGCATGTGCCGGTCCAGGCTGCCCTTCTGGTTGAAGGACTTGCAGCAGTAGATGCAGGTGAGCCGTGGGTTGTAGCGGAACCAGGGGTCGCCAACCTGCTCACGCAGGTACTCTTCATACCCCCCGCCGTCGTACGCTGCCTGTTCCTCGCCCTGGGGGGCAGCGGGAGAGATGCCGTGATTTCGTTGCACTTCATGCAATGCACATCCGGTACCCGTGAGAATAATGCACAGATGAGTGCCGCTTGCTCGAGGGATTCACGCCTAGGTGCACTCAGTGACAAAAAAAAGTTAAGCACCCAGAAGATATGTTCTGATTTGGATGTAGTTTGGTACACGTGCAGACCACCGATGGGCATGTAAATGATTCGATTTGCAAGTAGCTGGCATGTTTAGTCACCAGACACAGAGGATGCCTCGTAGACGCATTACACAGCATTACCAGCACGTGATAGAGTTTGATAGGGGTCTCATTGTGGGTTTGCATGAGGCCAGGTGGTCTAATCGTGCAATTGCCCAGCATGTGGGGCATGCAGATGTCACAGTCGCCCCATGTTGGAACCAATGGGCACATGAGGGCACCCACACACGTCGTGAAGGTTCCGGTCACCAAAGACAGACCAAGGAAGGATCGTCGTATCACAAACATTACAGAGCCCTATGACATCTGCACCCGCCATCCGGACATAGGTATTGGACTCTCTACAGCACCCGGTGGCATCCTGCACCGTTTCTCAACAACTGGCATCAGCCAGACTATGGGTTCACCGTCCCATGCGTAGGCTGGCGTTAATACCAGCGCCGAGACGGCTGCGTTTCTGTGGTGCCAAAACTCAGGGTCATGGAGTGGTGACGAGTGGCATCGTATCATATTCATCGAAGAATCGTGGTTCTGCATTACCATGGATGACCGTCGTGTGCGCATATGGCAGCACTGAGAGGAGAGAATCAATCCTGCTGGCGTTACTCCTGGCATCATGGTGTGGGAGCCATAGGGTATGACTTCAGGTCATCTGTCATCATCATATTGCCACATGTATCCAGACCCGGGGGGTGCCACATCCTACTGACATGGGGCCAGCAGTGTGTCCATACTGCCAACTCTGTTGTCCATTTGATCTGATATTATAATCATTGCGATACAGTCACATGACCTTATACCACATGCAGGTTCTTTTAATTTCCACCACTCCGTTTCGGTGCTTAACTTTTTTTGTCACTGAGTGTATTTATGTCTTACTAATAAATGGCCATGTTTACACACTTGACTCCCATACTACAATTAGCAGAGACTAATTAACCCCCCCCGACAAAACCGAAGAAGAAAAAGCAGACGATGCAATGAAATAAGCAAAAAAAAAATCTGCTCATTTTGCAGGGACACGACTGCAATGTTTCTTGGAAGTTCCACTTTCTCAGCCACACACACACACACACACACACACACACGCTTGGAGATGGTCACTTACCTGCGAGGTGGGGTGGCTCTGATCGTCACCCCTCCCCGGAGACTCTGCCTTGGCCCTGTGCCGTTCGGCCTTCTCCGCCACGCTGCCTGTCGGGCTGAATCTGCCGCGGGGGTGGGAGAGTGAGCTTCCGCAGCGAGGGAACACGTGACCTTATCACCGTAACATGGCACATGTTCATTTAAACGAGCTAAACAGGTCAGTGCGAGAGCCGTACGCACCTCTCCGTCTCACGGAGGCTGCTGGTGGGCTGATGGGAGTTCCTGCTCCCAGAAGGCTGTGCGTTGAAGCCCTCCTGCACCCACACCCTGTGCCCCGTCCTTTTTGGGGCGCCTTCCTCGGCACCACCCTCACTGCCTGTGAGAGGAGCCTCCGCCCCAGTCCAGTCCTCCAGGCTCTCGGTCTTGATGCGGACGGCGCCCCCGTCGGCCTCAGGCCCTGCCTCCACGTACCACTGCCCTGACTGGTTTATCCGCAGGAAGGGCTCCTCTGAGCCCCCATGACCTCCGGTGCCCGGCTCACTGTGCTCTATCACCTGGGGGCTCATCGACTCCCCGGGGGGGCTCACCTCACACACCTCCGTCTGCTCCTGAATATCACTAATAGCATCTCTACAGCTCCACGCATCCCCGGCCTGGGGGGTGTTTTGGCCGGGGCTCAGAGGCTGGGTCCCAGCCCTGACTTCCCCTCTTCTTCCAGACCCTGGAGCCCGAGCCTCACCGCCGTGAACCTGGCCCCGGACCCCCAGCCCCTTCTCCACATCGGCCAGGCTGAGTGTGAAATGCACGCCCTCCAGGATCTGGGTGCACCGGTCGATGATGTGCTGCATCTGCAGGAAGCTGGCCGCCGTCAGGTAGCTGATGATGTCGGCCAGCCGCAGTCGTAGGCGGCCCGTGTAGCAGAAGGACAGCAGCTGCTCGAATACACACGGGTTGCGGATCACCGATATGGACACGGTGCTCATCTCGCCCAGCGACATGTGGTCCCGGAAGTACGGCGAGCTAGCAGCCAGGACCACCTTGTGGGCACGGAAGCTCTGTCCCTGCACATTCACCACTATGTCGCACAGCCGGCCCTGTATGCGCAGCTGGTTCAGGTGGGACAGCACTGAGTTACTGAAATCCGGGATATCCAGCTGCACGCTGCTCGTCTGCTCCATCCCAGCGTGGCTTCACCTGCTCAAAGACAGTGGTTACAGTCTGAGAAATGGCCTATGTCCTGAAACATTCTGCTGTGCTCCTAGTCTACACCTACCTACAATACTACCTGAGATACCGAGATTTAAACCTGCAGCAGTGATAAGTACGGTCCATATACCGCAGTTTCCTTGGCAAAAACAAATGATCTAATTATCTTAAAACAGTCCGACTCATTTTCACGAATACAAAAGTTGTTAGCTGACTTGGTGGAATCAGAAAATGGTTTTAAAAACTTACTTGGACACAGGCTGATGAAACACTGAATACCGTCAGCTGGGGTATACTGGCTGCCCGTTTGACAGCTGGACATCAGCAAACGCCTCGCCGTTTAAAGCCAACTTCTACGCATTCTTGTCTCGTAGTTTCTTTTTCTGACATTTTAAAAGTTAACGCATAGCGCTGCGTTATGATTACAAGGCGGTGAAATCGCATTAGTGCACAACTGACATGATCCCGAGCCTAGCTGATCTTACTATTTCCATATACGGGGAGGAGCCCGGTTAACGCCAAGCAATAACAGCAATCAATCCTGACTGTCATTTAGACATGGTCCCATGCATTGTGAGGAACATAACACAAGAGACTACAAATAGTGTCCATAAAATCCATAATAATTTTTACTTCTTTTGCCTCGCATACTTTCATCGCTGTGCCTGGGTCAAAATACAATAGAAGACGTTGGCTAACCCGACGCCTGGATACTCTGGGAAAAGTAGTTCTTTCCCAACACTAACACTGTAACAAAGAACTGCCGTCGTTGAACTTGAACTCATAATCCCGTCATGCACTGCCCGCAGTCAATGCGCAGCACGGGATGACAGAGAGATTGGTGGGTCTGCTCAACTTTTAACAAGTGCTTCTTAGTATCGCATATAGTGTCAGCGATGACAGATTTTGATGCGTGTAATACCAGTTACAAGCTTTAGAACCCGACTCTGCTTTTGACGGCGAGAGAAATTTTACGCATTGAAAAATGAACATTGAACAATGGTTATATTAAAAATGGTTTCATTCCTTAATTTTCCTAATTTGCATATCCGGCATGCAGTAAAATATGAAATTTTCCTTATGTATGATTGTATGTTTATATCTATGCATGTATGCATGCATGCATGGTTTGAAGCGTGACAAGAGCCGTCATTATTCCATCCTGCGACCACAAAAAGGCCACTTATTAATCATTTATTGCTATCAGTATGTTTATATTATCTACTTCATTTTCTAGTACTCTTATAAATCTGCAGAATACATTAATTATAATATTTCCAAGCCTATCATGATAAAACTGTGAAAGTCGTATAATGGATAAACTGTACTTCTGTTACGTATGTCAGCTAATATTAAATTTAAAGTGCCATTGGAATATTAAGCCACAAAGTGGCGCTGCGTTAGCATAAATCTCAATTCTAAACAAAATTTCGGAATGTTGTATTTTGTTTTGATGGGAGGATTATGCCTGTATATTTTGGCAAGAAACTCGTGTTTTTCAAAAATTGTTTTCCCTCCTAAATGTTAAAATATACTGACCCAGTACTGGATTTAACACAGGCGTATTTAATCGCCCGGTAAGCTCGGTATTTTTTTCAGGATATAAATTTCAGTGAAATAAATATTGTGATGAAACATACCTATGTTTATATACACGGATTAAAAGCATTACATGAGACGCCTTTTTGCATTTGCGATGTACCATTAGATTATATAGACAGAACTGACCTGAACTGTTTGTTTATTTAACATTACATTTTTCCATAAAAAGATACATTTTCAGTAAAATATCTGAAATTGTCATTTAGGTAATTAAAAAGTATTCTAAGGGTATATTCTTATAAACAAATGTGTATACTCTGCTGCATGAATCGCTGAATATTTTGTTTTTACAAGTATTAACATGAATATTAAAATTTAAATGTTCACTTAGCTGATTGTATCTACAAGTATCTGCCAGTGAATGTATCTCAGGGGAGTGATTGTAGCCGTTTTCTTTGTGATACATGATGTAGCAGGACAGAACAGGATTTATTTTTATTAAATAAGAAATATTTGACCAGCATCCCATCAGAGGTGTCCCTGCCCTGTGCTCCGTGGGCTGGGCTCCACAGTTACGGCAGGAATATGGATGGATGGATGGATGATAAGATTTTCTTCAATAAGTCCAGTCTGAAAATAACTGCTAAAAACACTTTTAAGAATTATTTTATTAACATCTAACAAATACAATTACACAAATACCACAAATATTAAAGTGTGCAAATAAGAAGTGGGACAACATGGTCGAATGAGAGAAAAACGTTTTGGCAAATTAACAGTAATGAACGTGCTTCGGTATGAAGCCTTTATACTGGACAGAAGAGGATGTTGAAAAGTATAACATTTAAACATTTTACAAAAAAATACACAATGGGAGTTTCCATAGGAAATTTTTAGCATGTGCTAAAAGTTTTGGCTGCTTCTTCACCTTACATTTAAATACTCTCGTTATTATTGCCACAAACACAAAGCCAAAATCCATCTCCAGCCAGAAAGAACAGGTGCTAGGGAAGAACAGGTCCGATTTAATTACAGGTTTCAGTTTGCAAGTGAATGTTGTGGACTGTCCATCTCTGGTCTGTCACATGATGTACACAAATTGGATGGTAGTTTTGCATGTGACCAGACAAAACACAACTTTGCCTTTAAAGCAGTGTTTCCCAATGTGGTCCTCAGGGACCCACAGTCAGTCCATGTTTTTGCTCCCTTTGAGCTCCCTACCAGACCGGAAGCAAAAATGTGGACTATCTGTGGGTGTCTGAGGACCGGATTGGGAAACACTGCCTTGCTTTCTCATATTGCCAATGGATGCTAAGCCAAAATACTGTCAGTCTGTCACTGAGTATTTCAATGACGGACCACTTTATATTTCAAGGTATCAGTGTCTCAAGATATTTAATATCGTCTCCATGGAAACCCCCTACAAGGCAACATAAGTACGGCTGATGTAAGAACTTCCTTTGGGTTTCTATCACTATGTAGCCCATTTGAAATGCTTCAGAAAACAAACTGTTATTGCATCTACAGAGCATTGCTACGACGATAAATGTTTATCCAATGTTGGTGAAAGTATAAAATTTAATGAGAAACATTCTCAATCAGGGGTTGGTTTTCCACTGTACTAAACTTCCGAGTTACTTCAGAGAAAAGTCCTTCATTAGCTGTATTTCTGAAATGTTTCAATAATAACAGCAATAATAACTAGCATCTAATTTCACTCCTTCTTGAAAAACACATTTTAGAGAGTGTCAGTAATGCTTAGAAGTTTTTTATTTGCACAATTCCAACAAGTGCATTGCTAACGAAAATAAAATTAAACTCACACAGGTAATACTGACCGACGAAGGTTACAATCATGTGCTAAGTGTTTCCCTATGGAAAATCATGGCAAGTAAGTGTCTGGGGCCGTCAGTCCTTCAGCCATTAGGAAAGACGTACAACAACATCTCCGCAGACTGCAGCCAGTTCATACAGCTGCTGGTTGTATGTGTTTTTCGCTTTCGTTTCACGTGGCACTCCTCATGACTCGCTGAACTCCTTCTGGGGTTCTTTGACATCGCGGGTGTCCTCTGAGGAAGCCCAGGGCATACATACATGTATACATTCACAAATTAGTGTAGAGTGAAACGCCAATCAGCGTGGGGGGGGGGGGGAGGTCCCTTAGGAGGATGATGTGACATTCCCAGAGGAGGCCACCGTCTCCCGTGGAGAGTACTCAGGCTCCTCCTTGTTGGGGTGGGAGGAATTATCCGACTTGCTGCGGCTGAACTCGGCGCCAATTATGGGCCGGGTGAATTTCCCACCGGGTCGGCTACAGAAGCTGCAGACGAGCATGCGGATGAATGCGCGACGCATCTCATTGCTGGTGAGGGTGTAGATGAGCGGGTTCATGGCGGAGTTCAGCACGGCTAGTGCCAGGAACCACTCTGCCTTGTAAAGGATGGCGCAATTGCCGATCTCGCACGCCACGTCCAGCAGCAGCAGGATGAAAAGTGGGGCCCAGCAGGCGATGAAGCAGCTCAGCACGATGATGACCGTCTTGAGCAGGGCCAGTGACTTCTCCGAGTTCTTGTTGCTGCGGCCGTTGGACACCTTGCGGAAGACCAGTTTGCGACTGCGCGTGCGCACCAGCGCGTAGATTCGCGCGTACAACACGACGATGGCCATGAGGATGACGCTGAAGACGGTGGTGCAGAAGAGGATGTAGGTCTTGTGGTAGAGTGGCAGCACGGTGGAGCACCTCTTCATGTTGTCGATGCAGTTCCACCCCAGGACAGGCAGACCACCCAGGATGGCGGCGATGAACCAGCATGTGCTGATGAGCAGGAAGACCCTGCAGGTGTTGCCAGTGTTGTGGAGCTTCATCTTGAGCATGGTGAGGTGCCTCTCGATGGCGATGGCCAGCAGGCTGAAAACGGAGGCTGCCAAAGCCACGAACATGCTGCCCTCGCGGAAGAACCACTGCGTTGGAGTCAGTTTGTATGTGTTTGCCCCCGACAGAAGGATGTTGGCCGTGTACACCACTCCGGCCAGCAAGTCCGACAGTGCCAGGTTCCCAATGAAGTAATACATTGGCTTGTGGAACTTTTTGGTCCTCCAGATGGTCAGCAGGACCATCAGGTTCTCCAAGATGATGAAGCAGCACACAATGATGAAGACCACCGAGTCTGCCTTCAAACCCGAGTCCTGCTCCACCTTTCGCAGCTTCCCCGTGAAATTGTAATGTCTTGATATCAAGTCAGGGTACATGGAATCAGCTACAGCCATAGCTTATCGTACGATCAAAAATCCTGCTTAACGTAGTGTCGTAATCCTCCGCACTGTCTGTAGAGGGCGCTAGAGGACCACCGTCCAACGCAAAGGCTGAAATTTCTATTCCACTTGATCCCGATGCTAACTTACGTTTCCTTCAGGTCAAAAAAAAATCCCTATTACAAAAAAATGTTCTCCATATGCATGTAGACCACATTGTGATGACCCTGAAAAAAGAAATTGTTGTTATTTAAAAATAAATAGTTTATTACATATAGAACAATGTATCCTGGTTTACAGCGAGAACAGCAAGTTTACCTGAAAACGTTAAGATCGGCAGGTGTATCTTATACCAGCATATCTTACGTCTCTGTTATCGAGTTTCTTTAAAATGTTGTCTTAAAAGTATTATTGATAGATTAATTAGCGATAAATAATATTTAGTTTACACAAAGTACTGTGGATCCCACACGTTAAAAACTATAACTTCATCGTCATGCCGCTATTCTCCAAATTTTAAAGTTTCTGTAAACAGGACAAATAATTTTATGTTTTGTATACACTTATACATAGGCTAGAAATAGCATTAATAATTACATCCAATGTATATTATTCACAGGCTATGAGACTACTGGAAACCCCTAATTAGAACTGAAATATGTGCCGTTATTTTAACTATAAATTCAAGTAGTTGTAGAATAAAACAGAAGTGGTAATTTCCAAAAAACAGATGAACAAAATACACAAAGAAATATAAATCCACTTAGAAAAATAGTTTACTCGTGACAAAACGGCTAAGGTCAAGTGTAAATACTATTAAGTCTAATAGCCCAACTTCAATAAGTTAGCTTGCTTTTCGATATTCGCGTACCGCATTTACACCGCTAACAAACATCAGAACTCGTAGACACCGTGCAAACGGACACAGAATTTAGATTAATTGAAAGAAAAACTACCACCATTAAATTCACACCTTCGTGTTGAGCGCCCGTATCTTCCATCTAGTTTACGTACTATTTACAATTAAGTAGCCTATTAACTATTTTTGTTGTTATGATTCACATTAAAGTTGAAAAAAATTTAATAGTTGGCGCCTTACCTTAGAATTGGATAACTGCACAGGAAAGTATGAATTACAGCCGGAAAAACACACGTGTCCTTAAAACATGTATGTATAAACGAATAAACATACAGAATTAAATATATAAATAGCTATAAATATAAAAAGTTTCAAATAATGGTAAGTCAGTAATAGATACCGATGGGACAACCTTCCATGTAGACTGTGACTGCAACTCTCCCTGAAGTATCTGTAAAAGCAAATTTTTTGTGCAGTCGGGGGCGGGGGGTCTTCACGCAGTCTCCCCTCCCCCTTCGCCTTCAGATAATCCACACTGCACATTCCACAAATTCAATCGCTTGCATTTGTGCTGAAATAAAATCAAGACTTTAACTCACGTGATGATATGTAAATGCCAACGACATATGCACTTCCTGTGTAAATTAAGGTACGTTTATGCGGCCAGTTAACTATAATGTAACCAATTAATTGTGTTAATTATAATTCCAAGTTATAACGTCACCAATTAATCGTTTATCATCGCACACCCTGAAAAAACGGCTTTAAAAATAATCTTACCAAAGTTTGGTGATTAAAAAATATATTTTATATAAATAAGCCTATGGTTTCTGTAACTTAATTCATTTTAAAAAACATAAAAACTGCAGTAGCCAAAGGCAAGAGGTGTAAATTAAAGAAAAATATGCATTTTTATACCTTTGCCAATTTTATTTGTTACCAAAATTTACAAACGAAACGTCTAATACATTTAGAGAACTCATCGCGTGTAGCAACTCTGAATAACTATAAGTATTTCTGAATAACTTCTTCATCTAAAATCACTTCACTAAGCAATCAAAATTCACACAGGCAAATATTTTAATTTAAGAATGTAATCTAATTTTTTTCTAGAAAAATGTTGTAATGTATGCAGAAATTCCATCAGTGACCATGAAAATGCTGACTGCTTTTTGGCCCAGAATTTATTTTATAGCTTAGAAAATTATCTTAAACAGGGCAAAGTGATTCCTCTAGAATTTCCTGTAGCAGTTGAAGCAGTCACATTGCCTTTGTTTTTCTTCTTCATCTTCAGGGAAGACGCCAGCTGGGTCTCCCCAGATGAAAACATGTCGCTCCCCATCCAAACCCAACCATCCTGCATCTTCTGTATGTCAAATGCAATAGTTTCACGGTCTTTTCAGGTCCACTGGCCACATTCTCCACTGTCCCTTAGCCTCAGGCTCAGGGGCAAGGGGGGAGTGACATGAGTTCTTCAACGAGGGGGGGTAGACCTATGAGGGCAGGGCTGGGGGTTAACTGCCAAGGTCTGTTATTCCACTACACATCTTCAGGCAGGCTAGACATAATTTGTCAGTCAGTGGGGGAAAATGATATCAACAATGAAAAACTAATTGGGCAAGTCAGGCAGCTGGATGAACGGCTTGATGACTTTGTTCGACGTCTGGCTGTGGGGGTACCCATGATGATGGTGGTGGTGGTGGTGGGGGGGGGGGGCATTAAGAATGAGAACTTAATGTTTGCCACCCTGGTCTCCAAGATGGTTTGTGAGGACCTCTGGTATCACCTCACTGAGTGTTCTCAGCCACTATCTGTGTCTGACTGTTCTGCGGCCTTCTTTCTTAGTGCTTAACTCTTAAAGAGGAATTGAGAGAAGGCCTACATGCTTTCAAGAGTGAGGTGACGAGAATTTCTGTGCTCAGTGATCTCCGTCTGCTGCAGTGTACAACAGGAAGGATGTTCAATCCTACCAGCCATCTGAAACTAGGCCCCCAGCATTACTGCCACCAGCCCCGCTAAGGATCAAACACTTGGGTTGAGGGGGGAAGATCGAGCCCTTTCATTTCAGCAGTCGCGTGGTTATCCGTCCGATTTATTTATTTATCTCCAGCCTCCTTTTCTAAGATGTTGCGCAAAATTACACGCATGATTTTGGAAAAATAAAAATAATTTTTAAAAAGCAGCACTTATCCGCCCACAGAGTCAGTCGCGCAGATTTTATGGCAGCGAGAATTTAAAGCAAATGTGACTCTGGGTGATTTTATGCGTGCGACTCTCATGTTCAGTGCCTTAAAGCAATATTAAGTGACTTGCAGATGTAGAAAGAATAGGAGTTTAATGGACTTTATTACTGCTGTAAAACAAAAGTGCTTATATGGGTAAATTTATCATCAGAATCCCTAAAAATAGTGGGCAAAGGGTTTATCCAAATGAAAGGGTTTAAGACAAATACACTTTGTACAATTAACACCCTGTGCCAAGAACAGACTATTCCCTTTGTTCTTGGATTCAATGCACATCTGAAGACCAACTTCTCAGTAACAGAATCGACCCGCTTTGAAACTCCACTGTTGGGGCCGATTGGCCCCCTTTGGCTATGAGGTCAAAAAAAAAGAGGGAGAACCAGTCTGTTACACCGGAGGAATAAGGGAAGAGGGAGTGAGAGCGGCCTGACAGGGCTCCCTGTGTCACAAAATGTCGTGACTCATCATGGAGGGACCTTGAGGTCATGATTCCCTGATGAAATAAGGTGTTTCTAAGGCCACATTTCCTACCCTTCCGATAAATGTCAGGAAAGATGGGAGCTGGAGAATGTGCACTGATCCCGGGTTTTTCCAGTGCCAGTCATTCTCATCCTCATCCTGCAGGATCATGAGGGAATAGGAACATGTCCAAGCAGACCTCTACCCCACATGCAGACTCACCACTCTGACAGACTTGATCTTTCACTGTTTACATCACTGAGTGTTGATACCTCAAGGTGACAGGGTATTACATCAACCTTCTGGGGGCAACAATGAATTTAAAGGTATTAGTTTGGCTTTATTAGTAAAAAGATAAACTAAATCTTTAAATTCACAAAACCTCAGTAAGTTTGTTAAGCTGCATATGGCTGGTAGTTGAACGCAGGGGCGTTTTAGAGGGGTTATAAACCCCTCCCTCAACGGGATGTACACTAATTAGTTTAAATAATGTGGGCCATTTCCATCAGACCCCCCAGTAAAGATTCGACCCCATTTCATTAATTTCTAGTGACACTCCTGTTTGACAAGTATGCTATACACTCACTTATACAGTATAATGTGCCTAAGGAAGGGCCAAGTGAGTAAGTGAACCTGAGAAAGGGAGAGGTGGTCCTGGGGTCCACCCCGCCCTCAGTGTCGGGGGCCTCGCCCTGCTCTGCACTGCCCCACACTGGCCTCACACTGTATCAGTGGGCCGCCATGCCCATTCATAGGCAGCCTCTTTGTTCCCATCAGCAGCTTCCTGCCTTTCCTGCCCCTCCTCGCTGGCAGAAGGCCGGCTATGAAGGAGGCTTCAGCTGGGCTGGTGTGTAATAATCATCATCTGCCAGGGCAATTAAAAAAAATATATATATATACACCCACCCATGGAAAGGATTATTTGTAATATTCTCTACATTTAAGAATAATAATGAAGACATTACACAATTACATATACGGAATTATGAACTGACCAAAAAAATTAAACAAAACAAGAAGATTAATTTGTGGGTGGAGGGCAACTCTGTGGCTTGGCACTCAGAAGGTTGCAAGTTCAGATCCCATGGTCGACAGAGCGATCCCACCATTGGGCCCTTGAGCGAGGCCCTTAACCCCAACTGCTCCAGGGACTGGCTGACCCTACTGTCTCCCCTATGCCAGTTCCATGATGTGGCCTCCTGGGATGCTTTTCCAGCTGTCCGGAAGGAGGTCCCACATATATGCTGAGCTCTCATTGGCTGCTTTGCTTTCACTCTCTGATCGAACTCCTCCAAACCATTTGTACTGTGTTTTGGTTAGGTGGCCAGGTCATGTGATGTGACACTGTCACTCTCCTCTGTACGCGTGTCCAAACTTTTGACTGGCACTGTATATTTTTAAAGAATGGATAAAGCAGGGGAAGTGAAAATAGAACCAGCACCAATGCACTGATTCTCTATGGTCTCACGTAACTTGCTGTGCCCTGTAATGAGAGCTTAGACCAGGGATGGGGAACCTGATCCATGGAGAGTCGCTGTGGGTGCAGGTTTTTTGGGATGACCTCTCAATCAGCCAATAAGAGTGAGTCCCCAGTGGGTCATCCCAAAAACCCAGTACCCACAGCGGCCCTCCATGGATCAGGTTCACCACCCCTGACTCAGACCACCTCCTTTAAAAACATACAGGATGTTGAAGGTGGCAGGAGAACCTGTGTATGGTGATCTCAGAGGCTCCCCCTACTCCTCAGGGCGGAGGACATGCCACCGCCTGTACCACCTTAGATGCCTCAGGGCCTTCAGGCTGCCCCTCTCAATATTATAGAACTTCTACACTGTCAACATCGAAAGCATGCTGAGAGGTGACATCACCGCCTGCTTCGGTCGAGCACACAGCAGGACCACAAGGCTCTGCAGAGGGCGGTGTGGTCAGCCCAACTCATCAGACATGCTCCGCCCAACCTCCAGAAAAGATACATGAGATGATGCAGGTCCAGGGCCAGGAAGATTAGTAAAGATCTCAGTAAGGGGTGGAACTTTCCACTTCTGGCAATCGTGCATTTCACTGCACATTGTACTGAGTATAACTGTGTATGTGAGAAATAAAAACAGGAGGGCCAGTGCGACGGACAGGAAGCAGGGAGACATGCAGAGGGGCCATAAAAATGCCTCCACATGGTTCTCATAAGAGACGCCCGGTAAACATTCCTGAGGAGCCTAATTGCAGGAAGACGCGCTGTAAACGAGAGTGCAGATGAAGCAAATGGACTTCACAGGGCCTCTGCAGCCGCTGGCATGGAGTCACATGGGGTTTGCTGTCATATTAAAAGGGAGAAACACAGGATGTGGCTCTGGGCAGGTATGGAGATGCCCAGAACAGAAGAAAGGGTAAGCGTTTCTCTGGCCAGAGAAGACCGTAAGATCTCTTTAGGAAGAGAGGCGATTCGTGAATTTGGTTACAACTCCTCAGCAGTATGCATGTTATGTATTTACTGACTATTTGTTTAAAAATCCCTCTAGTGACGAAACAGTCCAACAATTTCCAACACATCAGATCAAAATAAATATCGGTTTTGCAAAGGAAATTTTATTCCGCAGTAGATATGAATGGAGACATCCTGGTACCATGCCTATCCCTTTCCCAGATGGATTCCCACGGTCCCGGCCACCACACCCAGAGGGATAATGGGAGTCTGCCATCCAGAGCTGAGACAGAGTGATACTTCCAGAGAAAGCGAGACTA